TGCTACTGCAAGTTGCTTGTCTTTGGCTGTTGTTTGCGCTTATGCAAGCAGTTCAGAGTACCGGCTAGAGTGTCTGGGTGGCGTCCTTGAAGAAGGGTGAATGGAGAACATCTGGCCAAGGCCCCTGTCCGCAAGGTCTTCAACTTCTGCCACCGGAAGAATTTCTCGTGCATCCCAGGGGAAGCTGGAGACATGGAATCTGAGTGGATCATGTCCAGGACCTCAACTGTGGAGGCAGCTGTCAGGGCTTTTGGTCAGAATGCCCTGTTGTGGCAGCAACCTTAGAACCTGCTGGTGTCCACCAGCAGTGAAGGAGGGTCACCTGAAGTAGCATATAGGTATCTGGTGGCTAGAAGAGCTGTAGCTTTAGTGATCACTGAAGCAAAAACCCGGCTGTAGCAGGAATTCAGGGAGGCTACAAAGACAGACTTTTGGTTGGCCTCAAGGAAGATCTGAAAAACCGTTGACACAGGAGGGGACAGCAGGGCTTAGCTCTGGCTGTTTTCAGATGGGAAAAAATGCTGACCCGGACTGTGGATATTGTCAAGCAATGGAAAGAGAATTTTGAGGAACCAGATTTTAAGACTTGGGGGAGCCTCACCCATATCACTGGCAGAGACCTCTGAGATAGTCCAAAAGCCCCTCAGCAGCAAGGCACCAGGTGTGGATTGAATCCACCTGGAGAAAATGAATGCTCTGGACATTTTTGGGCTGTCTTGGCTGACAGGCCTTTTTAGTATTGTGGTACAGTGCCTGTGGAGTGGCAGACACCGGTTCACATTTTTATGAAAGGGGACAAGAAGGTGTGCTAGATTTTTTATGGAATCACACTGCTCAGCCTCTCTGGGAAACTTTATTCCAGGGTACTGGAATGGAGGCTCCAACTGAATGTTGAGTCTAGAATGCAGGAGGAGCAATGTGGATTCTGCCTGAGCCATGGAAAAGTCGACCAGCTCTTCACTTTTGTAGGGTTACTTGAGGGGTCGTGGGGGTTTCTCCATCCAGTCTACATGTGCTTTGTGGACTTGGAGAAAGCTCTTGACCATGTCCCCTGGGGAGTCCTGTGAGGAGTACTGTGGGAGTATAGGGTACAGGGGCCATTGCTACAAGCCATCTGGTCCTTGCATAACCAAAGTAAGAGCTGTGATTGGATACTCTGCACAAAGTGGCACGCAAGGCAACCCTGCAAGGGTTGTCACTTGTCATTAATTCTGTTTGGGATATTCATGGACAGAATCTTAAGGTGCAACTGGAGGGAGGAGAGTCCCCGTTTTAGGGACTTTAAATTCTGTCCCTGCTTTGTACAGATGATGTGGTACTGATGACTACATCAGACCCTGAACTCCAGCATGCACTGGGGCAGTTTGCAGCCAACTGTGAGGCAGTCAGGATAAAAGTCAGTACCTCCAAGTCTGAGGCCATGCTTTTCAGCTGGAAAACATAGGATTGCTCCTTCTGGGTTGGGAGTAGTTCAAGTATCTCATGGTCATGATGGACAGGCGGATTGGTGCAGCATAAGCAGTGCTGCAGGTGTTGTGCTGCTTGGTTGTGGTGAAGAAGAAGCTGAGCCAGAGCGCAAACTCTCGATTTACCAGTCTTTCTATGTACCTCACCTATGGTCATAAGCTTTGGTTAGTGACCTAAAGAATGGGATCGTGGATACAGCTGGCCAAGTGAATTTCCTTGGTGGGGTGGCTCAGTCTTAGAGATAGGGTGAGGAGCTATGACATCTGGAAGGAGCTCAGAGTAGTGCTACTGCTTCTTTTGGCTACATTTATCTAAAATACCCGGTTGTTTTTCTCTTGTTCACCATTGTCTTGCTTTCTTATACAGTACCTACATTTAAGTGGGCTACCAGTCAGAACCTCTAAGTATTTTATTGGTACTTTATTACTACAACAAAATTACAATGTAAATCATGGGCTGGATTATAAAGTATGCAGCACTGACTTGACGTTACACTGTACCAGGTCAGCAAGCAGATAATAAGTTGAACAAAACAACAAGATGATAATAAGAAAGCAAATAATGCATATTAGCAGCTGTATTTTGCCAAAAATAAGGCAAGGACATAAATGGATCCTCTTGAGGAGAAGTTACTTGACAAAGACAGGACTCAGTATCAGAGAACTGAAGGCTGCCCATCCCTCTCACAGAGTTACATAACCAGTCTGAAGCAAAGGGAGCTGGCACCCCTCTAAGATCACAAGGTACTGGCTGTGAACTCAGCTGTCAGGAGTTGACATTGAGGGCAGAAACTGCTGTTCCTCCTAAGTAGATGGACAGCATTGAAGGCTGTCTGCCACCCACAGGACTCTGCTGACTTAATGTTGGTCTATTTTTAAATCAATATCAGGCACATTCAACACATGACTGAACGCCCAAAGTGCCACACACGCACATACAGTGAATACCCCCCTGGGGAAACAGGACTAAACATGACTAAACATTTTCATGGAGAGATCTCGTTCCAGTGGCTCCAGTAGCTTTGAGTGAATTATCTCAACAACTATTAAGAGCAGAAATAGACAACTTTTAAAACCCACCCCCAATGTATCCAAGTGGTATTATTGTTGGCACAGCAGTTGCAAAGACAACTGGATCGCTTTCTGTTTTCCTCAGAGCCAGGGCACACACTAGCCTACATTTTGTTTTCCACAGTTAACTCCTGTTGTTACAACACCCTCCATTTCTGCTTCTGGGGATAGTAACTGCAAAGAACTTACACTGATACTGATACTGATCTGGGGAAAAGCAAAAGCGCAGTCCTCTTCCTGTTTTTGTTGCACAATGGTTGAAGCACTTCCTTTGTGCCATAAATTGAGCATTCATCTTCCTAGGAGAGAGGACAAACTTGCATGATGAAAGTGAGACTTGTCCACCTTATTCCTAGCCCCCATGATACCTTGTGTGAATTATGGATGTAACTTCTGGCGTTGAACCGAAACCGACGATTTCCATTGGTAACAGTTTGTTGACAGTACTCTGTTCTTCTTTCCAAGAGCAACTGGGAAATAAAACATGGAACACATTACCTGTTATAGCTCAAATGGGATTATGTGATCATACCTCTGCCATCTCTGACAGCCATCTCAAAGCACCCCCCCCCCCCATTTTCAACAGAGCATGCTAGCAATTAGCTTGCCTTGCTCTGTTAAGATATTGTTAACTTTAAAATGGCCCGAGCTAGCTTAAGGTAAACACCTGCTCCTTCTAAAGATGATTTCTGATTTCTGATGACTTATTAAGAGATACCAACACATTCTGCAAACATTTAACATAATTCAGTATTAACTGTAGCTCCATGTGAATTGAATAAATGTGATGTTTCTCAGCTAATCCTCCACTTGTCTAACTTCTACTTTATTAAAAACAGCAAAACCTGATGCTGAATTTAGCAGCAGACTTCAATAACAGTAATACAAAGTAGTAGTAAAATAAATATGTTTTAGCATTCATTTTTTATGTAATATAAAGGAAGTACAGTAAATCAGTAACACATTCTCAGCCCTAATGACTACATACATATTTCAAGGTATGTTGCTGAGTTTATTTCCTAATGTAGGTTGAGAGTGAAGTCAGACGGGGAAAGATAGAGATACCATGTACTGACGTTGAGTGACGGACCTGTCAGTCTAGGTGTCATTCTCTTCCGCAAATTCTATTTCTCATATCAATGGTACCTTTGGCAACAGGAACAATCCCTTTTTGTTCTGGTTACATGTTCTACACACAGTTGCTGAAGACAAAAATTTAGCTTAGACTGGTTGTTAGTCATTACAGACATGGACAGTGCAACAGGTACCAGAGCTCCGCAAAGACATTTTAGAAGCTTAGAAGCTAAGTTAACATTAGTTAAATATTTGTTAAAAATAAATCAGTATTCGCCAAACTGAAGGCAAATTACTTTTGAAGAGAACCAGCATTGGCAGTTAGCCACCAAGAGTAGCCACTGGGACTAACCACAGACAGTCTATGGGACTAACTAGCTTACTGCTACTGCTATCTCACATAATCATTTCTACAGTAGTGCCATCAGGAATGATGTGGATATGGAACAAATTTAAACACTGATGTTGTCTTTATTCTATAGTCAGCACTTTGTGCAATCAGCATTTACTTAGTGATGATAAATTAAAGTAAAACATGTCTATTTCCACTTTAATGGGTAGCCATTAAATCTGGCACATATATCCCCTCACAATGAAATGTAATTACTTTGGTGATCTCTTAACTGATGATGGCTCATCTTGTTTGGTCCAGTACTTTGGTTCTTTACCAACACATGAAAAACTAATGGCCAATGACTGTATCAACCACTGTGGAGATCATGTCATGTCCTCTGTTTTCTTCCCCAGGTATTTTTGGGGGCTTTTATGGACCTTGGGGTAGTTTACATTCTACAGTTTAAACACATGGATTAAACAGGTAAAGTATGAGAGTATTTCTGCATTAAAAAAAAATAGTACCAAACAACAGACAAGGTGAATAAAGACTTCAGTATTTCCACTATTTTTTTACTGGCAGTGTGGAGAAGGCTTTGAAACAGAAAGTAGAACTTCATGACAGGAATTCAATTGTATAGAAAATATAACTGAACATTTAATTGCCAAAATTAAATATGCAAAAATACATATTTTTTAAGACTTATAAAATAATTTTCTAAAACAAACTTTTCTGAAGAGTGTAGTGTTGGGTTTGGGACTTGGACGCATGACCTTACTATTATCAATCTCATAGTATAAGCATTAAAAACAACAGTAAAAATGAAAGCTTAATATGATGCATGTCTTTGGTTTTTAAAGTCTATTTGGTAATTTATACAACTGTCTCTATGATGCTTTACCCAGTGTTATACATTTATGAGACCAACTTCAAATCTAAAGTTGTGTTGAGACTTCTGCTGCATGACCACAAAAGAGTATGCCTTTTATTTTGAAGGCAATCAAACAGGAAGTATTACTTTGGCAGGTTGGTTTGAGATTCACTCAGGTGAACTTGTGCTGCGGGTTGGGATAGAAACGTCATCAGAGTTAAAATGCGGATCTTGTCCATTTCGGGAGAGGAAGGTCTGTCATCATCACTATCAGATGCGTCTGCACTTCCTGCTGGGAATGATCGATCACTCAGAGTGTAAGTAAACTTTACTTTTTATGATGATTCAAATGGAAAACTATTCTCACGTGATTTAAGTCTCGGCTGGGAAAGCTGGAAAACCGAAAATGTATGTCGGTTCAAGTCCCGCATTTTTACAGTGAAACTGAGCAACTAAGTGACTCTTAATTTCCACTGACACAGTTGTGATTCATGTAAGGTCAGAGAGAGAGAGTAGAAAGTTCAAAGCTGTTTCTGTACTATTGTTTCGAAGTGTACTAACAAGTGAAGGGAATCCATGAGTGCTGGAAAACAGGAAGAGACATTTCCATAATGGGCACTGTGTGAATTATTACTGGAGGAGAAGCTGCTGGTCAGGCAGATTGATCTATTGGGTACATTATGGAGGGAGGCAATCTGGAAACATAATATCTAATGACAGAGTCAATACAATTAATTTCACCTATCTTTTCCACCTCACCTATGTAACTTTGTATCAGAGAGACATGTTTGCCTTTCTGGTTATTCTGTGGCATCTTATGATGAACGACACTAGAACATAACGTATATGTACAGTGTTAGAATATATCATAATTACATTTACTCAAGTACTGTACGTAATTTGAGTATTTCCAATGTAGTCAGCTTACTAAGATATATTTGCAGAGCCTACAATATAACGATCTTATGAGATATGCTGCATTGTGAATGATTAAAATACCCAAAAGTATCAGTAAAATTGGATTCACTTAAACCAACTAATACAGTAAAATGCTACTTACACACCAACGCATTAGTTATAATCAGTTCAGTTCAAAACAACATTTACTGGACTCATTCTCTACATTATGAGTAGACTTATACTTAGGGCTGAAGGACATGGAGAAAATCAAATACCATGTGTTTTTTGACCAAAAACCACAATATTGATATGGCGAAGATATTGTTTGGTTGACTGTTGGTGCTTTCAAAAATGTTAACGCAATAAGATTATGATAACTTAAAATCAGTAATGTGGATATAATGACTAAGTGGGTAAAGGCAAATAATAAGACGGCTGAACAAAATGACACTTTACTGGAATACAGCCTTTAAAACCAGGAAAGCACAACACTTAAAATCTAAGATGATTTCTAGTTTCATAAAATGATATTGATGTATTGCTCAGCCCTACTTTTTCTATTGAATTTTGCTGCTAATACACGTTTTGCTTCAGTAAAATTTTAAGTGAAACTCTTACATTGGAACTCCGCCCTTTTATTATTATCATTCCTCATGGAATAATATTATTCCATGAGGAATTATTCCTATGATCTAAGACAGTCCAGAAATTTCAAGTAACCATGAACAACTCTGCCAAATCCAAAACTGAAAGAGTTAAAATTCAAACTTGCAATGTCATTGGGTATAAAGTATGAAACTGACAATGACTTGGTGCATTTTCTGTTTCAGAACTGAGAACACTACAACAGAGTAAAGCTCATTTGGGTATAAAATAGAAGAAGAAAACAAACATTCCGTTGGTCCACAAAATCAGGCTCCCATTCACTGTCTATGTTGCAGCTCCAGACTTCATACTTGATGACATCACAAGTTTGAGACTTCCTCCGCTGGTTTCTGGCTTTGAGAGAGAGTAGCTCATGTTCACTTATATTGATTGAACTTGAAATTCTTAAATTAGGTGGTATTACTCGTTAAGTAAACCTCTATCACTACTGATGATGAGGCATTATGCAGTCAAGTATGTTTTATAAGGTCCATGTCTTACCATAACAGCACTGATATGTTTGGGTGCACATTTTATGAAGTGCATTGCTGTTGCTGTCTAATGCCTGTTCTGAGTGCAGTAACTTGAAAAGCAAACAGGAAACAGCTGCTCTGATCTGCCACTCCGTCTTCTATCGTCTTCTGACACTCCTCATTGAAACTAATTTAAAGCAAAGATGGAGCAACATTGTGGGACAACATGAGGGTAAAATCATTGGCAGTCAAATATTTTAAAATCTTAATAATTAGCATTGTACAAAAATAAAGCCTGACTCTTTCCTCTTTTGAGTCTATGCTAAAAAATGCAGACTGCCGACTCTCATGTTACAGTCTAAGAGTTGCAGAGGTTCCTTTTTATACTAAAGAGGTTTCACTTCCCTGTTTTAAGAGCTACTTCCTTATGTTTAACATTTTCCAATGCGTCCAAGTGTTGTTACACGAGTTGAGCATAATTTCAGAGAAACAGACTTGTCATACAGTCACTGTGGTCAGTAAGGCTTCATCTGCAGAATGGATTTCACGTCACAAATTTGTTGACGTGGTGCTACGTAAATGTGCTTTTAGTCTGGATTTACACACTGAGAGAGTGTCTGATTCTCTGACAATACCAGGAGTCCTGTAGGAGATGGAGGAGACTGAGCAAAGCTGGAAGAAATGACAAGGAGTCCCGAAATCTCGGAGCAGCGACAGATGAGTTTATGAAGGGTAAATAAATCAGCACTATAAGGAAGTGTACTGTCTGTTAGAGGTAGGAGTTTGAAATCGCTTTACACATTCACACAGAGACAGAAAAAAACAAGACCAAGACATTAGGGTTTTAATAGGCCTTATGAAATGTTAGATGAGTTTTGGTTGGTACTGTAAAATAAAATGCACATAATTCAGGATCAAACGGCACGTGCCATTTTTATAAGGGAGAAGACTTAATGCACATATTTTCTTTTAGAGGTAATGAAATTATTGTTGTTTGATTGTTGTTGGATGTTTTTGGATTCAAAATCTCCACCTGCAGGAACAATCCAGACACTGAGGTTTTATATTTGTGGGCTTTACAATGATCAACAGGCACATGGTGGATACTTTACATGCTGATTCCAGTATTTTTGACCACTTAGAGGCCAACAAATTAAAAATTTAAATAAAGGCTTCAGCAATTCTCCCCCAGAATTTTATTGCAATAAGCTGGATATACCAGTGAGTAGAGAAACAACTGTAAAACTAATGCAGATGTGTCCACACTGGGCACAAGGGGTCACTAAATAGTTTGATGCTTACAGGCTAAACTGAGATGGTGAACCTGCAATGTATTACCCTAGCATGCTGACATTAGCATTTAGCTCAAAGCTCCACTGTTCCTTTATTTTTAGTTGAAAATGTCAATGCATGACACATATCTCTATGTTCAGTTGTAAGTAAAAGCACTATTACTAAAATAGACTGTGATCAAAATAAAATGTGGTTCCTTTCCTGTTCAAAAATATACTGCTAAAAAACATGGAAATGAAAGATTATATAAATTAAATAGCCTATGTTAAATAAAAATAGGCCTGTTTCTGAGAATCCTATTTCAGTTACTTTCAAAAACAATAACAGACAGATTAAAATAGAGCACCAACAGTGTGTGTCTCTCCATGTTGCAACAGAACTTATGACTGAGTTTGCATGAAGAGCATGAGACAGAAGAGATGCACGCTGGCACGGCTACAGAAAAAAAGGCTTATGTAACCCAACATCAGACTATATCTATATAAACTGTACTGTCTCATTCTATGTCTACGTTATGCCTTGTCGTGGGCGGAGGCATCATTTTTTCAGGTTGTCGGTCCGTCCGTCCCTTTCTTGTGAACATGCTATCTCTTGAACACCTTCAGGGAATTTTTTTTTTTTTTTCAAATTTGGCACAAATGTCCAGTTGAACATTAGGATAAACTGATTAGATTTTCATGGTCACAAGTCAAAGGTCAGGGTCACTATGACATTGCGTCCATCTCATTCTTGTAAACATGATATATCTAGAACACCTTGAAGGAATTTCCTCAAATTGTGCACAACCGTCCACTTGGACTCAACGATGAACTGATTCAAATTTGGTGGTGAAAGGTCAAGGTCACTGTGACCTCATTCATTTCATTTTCATTAATGTGATATCTCAAGAAGGCCTTAAAGAAATTTCCTCAAATTTAGTACAAACATCAACTAGGACTCAACAATAAGCTGATTAAATTTCGGTAGTTGAAGGTCAAAGGTCAAGGTCACTGTAACCTCACAAAACAAGTTTGTGGCCAAAACTCAGGAATTTATGTTTATGTTTATATATAAAAGGTCAGCTTTACTGAGACATCATAAGATATGCAAAAACAGTTTTCTTGGCCATTACTCAATGTCACAACTCAGGAACAGAGGGGGAGACATTTGGTCAGATACTAAATTGGTGACACTAATCTTGGGTGCCCTTCAGTATCCACTGTGAAACCGTGCTGATTGTTTAGATCTTCTGTGCTGTCAGAGGGAAGATGTGTGTGAAGCATCCATGTTTTCACAGACATAGATGTAAACTGTAATTGCAACTTGACTGGTGCACAGAGGCATACAACTGCAAGGTGGTAATTTTAGTTTGAAATCGATATACCCTAATACAGTGGTTCCCAACTGTTGGGTGCCTGTCTAAAAGTGGGTCAAGGGTCCATTCTGAATGGACCTCAAGTGACTTGCAAATGTGTCAAGTTTGTAAAAAAACTAGAGTGAGTGACAAACGGACAACTACTTATGAGAGACAGCAAATTAGCATGATGACATGGCCAAATTCGCTGAATATACTAAACTGTGTGGACCTTGAGCTAATGACCAAGGATAAATCTGGACCCTGTGGCTGGACCAGTTGGGAACCACTGTCCTAAAATGTTGATATACCACCCACCCTTAGCTGCTAGCATGGCTTTAAACTCTTGTTCCTAATATATCATCCATCTGTATACTGTGTACATATTGGATAAATGTAATTTCCTCTATTTACTATTTGCAGATACATGAGCTGGTGAGATGGAGGAAGCGTACAATGAACTCTACCAGCAGTTTCTCTGCCTGAGGTCCCTTTGCCTGAGACAGGCAGCTCTGCTACATGAACTCAAAACAGCTTTGCAGAAACAGCAAGGTTCATATACAACTTACTGTAAATGCAATGCCCATAAATATGTGTCAGTCATCATTTACTGAGAGGGAAACATCAGTTTTTAACCTGGACCCTGTTTTCCTATGTTTTGGGGTCCTAGTGACTAATGGAGACAACTGGTTGACAAATACTGACCTTTTTCTTTAACACAACTGAAACTCTCTGTCTGCAGGTACCACTGTTCCTAATGGAGAACTTAGTGATGCAATGTCCCTCCCCGTCCAGTGTACCCAAGAAATCCTTGTAAATCTCCATGACGGGCCTCAAACACTAACAGCCAAGGCACCCAAACCTGCAGCACAATGTGGTGTCGATTGGCCCTCTAGAAACCTTGGGACTTTTTCGGATCTCCTCGCTGAGGATATGTCTAAGCTCTGTATGGAAGTGCCTCGTCAGAGAAAGGAAGATGGGACGACTGAGCAAACGGTTGCACCCCTTATAAGCCAGGACATCACTAAGTGGCCAGGAGCGTGTTCCAATGTCTTAAATAATCCAAAGCATGCTGATTCTTGTTGTGGAGACAGGACAACGCACACTGTAGGGGTAAGTGTCTTTACTGAACAGGGCAGGGCTTGGATTTTACTATGATCTTCCGCAAAAAAAAAAAAATCTGTCTTGTTCTCTCTGTTCTTGTCAGATGCCTATGACAGACACTCCCTCCCTGGTTGGACACTGCCTGAGTCAGTCTGGTGGGATGCTGATGTCAGATGTAGCGCTACAGTCTCACGTTTGTGACTTCTGCCAGGCGGTTTTCCCTGGAGACACAACCACCGGAGGAGAGTTCCTGCGACATCTTTACACCCACGTCACCTAGACTGATCTGATTTGTCCTTCTGACACACGAGTTGTGTGTTCACATGATATGCAGTGATGGAGCAGGTGTAGCTCATTTCACCTGATCTCTGGAAGCAGCATTGAAATCAACCTGCACTTCATATTGTTAGCTGTTTACCTGTGGATGAACTGTGCAGATGCTGATGGAGGAATCATTTTCTGTTTCCTTTTTTTTTTTTTTAAGATATTTTTTGGGGCCTTTTAGCCTTTAATGGACAGGACAGATAAGTTTGAAAGGGGGGGAGAGAGAGAGAGAGAGAGAGAGAGAGAGAGACATGCAGGAAAGGGCCACAGGCTGGAGTCGAACCCAGGCCGCTGCGGCAACAGCCTTGTACATGGGGTGCCTGCTCTACCACTAAGTCACCGACGCCCCCATTTTCTGTTTCTGAGATGTAAAATAAAGGGCAGGAAACTTCCTTTGCTTCAATTGTATGTGAAAGTACTGAGATAACGTAGGTTCAGTTTACCATCTCACTTACAACTGCAGTGCCAGTATTTAGCCAGGGTTTTATTTGTCCAGGTTTGGACATTTAGATCTAAAGACCTCACTGTATCAGTTGTTATAGGGACCATTCCTGTTATAGAAAGTGATGTTAATCTTACCCAACCCAGACTGGGGCAAATTACACAAAAACTATCTGCATGGCCAGATACAACTAGAGTGTTTTTTTTGTCTTGAACTAATGGTTTAAGCCACCTCATTTAATACATGTAACTCACATAGAGAAAATCCACTATAGCATAAATCATTGCCCATATAGCCTTTATTGTAGTTACAACATGCAACCATGATGTATTTGATAAGATCGTAAAAATCATCCATCCTTTAAAGGCCTCCTTACCTCATGTACACTGACTGTGATCCTCCCCTGGTGTTTTAAAGGGGAACTTCATCTATTTTCGAAAATTCACACATTTTATTCCTATGGTCTGAGACAGTTCAGAAATATAGGTAAAAATGAACAACACTCTCCCAAATCCCCAAACTAGAGAGCCAAATTCAAATTTGTGATGTCATCAAGTATAAAGTCTGGAGCTGCTCCGTAGACAATGAACTGTGAAAGATGTTACAGATGACTCTGAGAGCATATCGGCACATTTTCGGTTTCACAACTGAGAACACTAAAATGAAATAAAGCTCATTTGGGTATAAAAAAAAATCCCCCAATCATTCTGTGGGGCCATAAAATCAGCCTCCCAGACATTGTCTATGGAGCAGCTCCAAAATTACTACTTAATGACATCACAGGTTTTACTCACTTCTCTGGTTTCTGGCTTTGACAGAGAGTAGCTCATGTTCACAAATATTGACTGAACTTACCTAGGCCATAGAAATAATATATTTAAATTGGGTAAATTGGTGTTTCCATTTAATGTAGCCCATAATTGCACTTGAAAATGCAAAATTGTGAAAATACCTTCTCTATTTTACTGAATTACAATAGCCAGACAACAGAGATGTTACTCTACAATATGAGAGTAATGGAGATCTTGTGTTTTAAAAATATAAAAGTATATACAGGGGAATAAATCATTGAAATAAATAGGGTCATTTGTCGTGTTCAGGAAAAAAATGACAGACTATTGTACCGTTTAATCTGAAAATCTAGTGTTTATTAGGGTTTGTTATCATGTGCTATAGATAAGATACAAGAGGGCCAGTTATGGACAGTGAGGCACATTGTTTTGTTTATGATCTGAAGTAACTGTTTGAAAAGATAATTATAAAGAAAATTGTTTCAACTGAAATAGCTGAATCTCTACACATTACCATCAATCTGTAGCAAAGGTGGGGGAGCATCTACTGCTGTGCTTATCATTCTCATCTCACCTGATTGTTGTGAAATGGGTTCGGTGTTCACTGACCTTTATGTAACTGTGACATTGTTTGCACTGGTTTTAAATGCAAATTTCAACATTTTTATAATTGTTTAATGCTTGTATGTCATAAGGAAAATCTTCTCTTGTGTAGATTTACAGTCTGAATCATGGCAGTATGGGTCCTGGCTGATTTTTGCATTTCACTGTGACTTAAGTAATTATTAGGTCTGCTTTTATTATGGTAAGCTTTGATGAGCCAAAAATATGAATTAGTTCAATCTGATTAAGTTTATTATTGACAACTTTTTCTTACAAGCCTTTTGAACTCTTATCCTTATGAAATATTCCAATAAACATTGCCCACATTTGCATGTAGTGGAGAAGTGGTGAATGTAGCAAAAGCTCTTGGGGATGATCCTAAAAAATTTTTTTAAAGATGTACATGCATTTAATTAGACTTCCTAATTTCATAAATAGTCTTCCTGTCGCTTTTGAAATGTTTGCTGTCAAGTGTTAAACTGATCAGCTGTCTGGCGCTCAGCTCTGTGTTACTGAGGAATGAACATCAGCTAAGAATAAACTCAAAGAATTAACTCCCTAATTAGTGGTGCTGACAGCTGATTGATGATGACGGCTCCCTTCATCTGCTGCCACATTAACTGTTGCTCTCATAATCACAGTAAAGAAAACCAACTTGGATATTATTGCTCTTATATAATCAAAGAGAAAAGCAACTGTTATTTATAAACATCACCTTCAACATCTGGCCGGGTGTCGTTGAATTTGGTCCTGTAAAAGAGGAAGGTGAATTGCCTTTTTTCAACCTGTCAAAGATCTTTTCACCTCACTCATGCAAATCCAGTCGCAGCAGCCCCACACAGGGGTGTTCAGAGGGGTGTTCACAGGGGCGTCTGTAGGATTTGAGGACATGTGGGGCTCAGGTTGGACCTCTGTCTCGGAAACTGGAGGATCCTCCCTGACAATTTAAAAAAAAAAAAAAAAAGCTCAATTATTATATTATTATATTATTATAATTAACAAAAAAATCCCAGTGTTAACCAGTGTTTTATGATTCTGTACTGGTGATAGTCGTGGCTGGAGGTACAATATCTCAATAACGCCTTGAGGGAATTTCTTCAAACTTGGCACAAGTATTCACTTGGGCTCAAGGACAAACTGATTCGATTTTGGTGGTCAAGGGTCAAAAGTCAAGGTCACCATAATCTTGCATCCATCTCATTCTTGTGAACACAGTATCTCAAGAACAGCTGAATGGAATTTCTTCAAATGCTGCACAAACATCCACTAAGACTGAATAATAAACTGATCAGAATTTAGTGGTCGAAGGTTAAGGTCACTGTGACCACACAATACATGTTTTTAGCCATAACTCAAGAATTCTTACACTAATCATGACAAAACGTCATATAAATGTCTAATATAATATAATATAATATAATAATGAAGTGATGACATTTTATATCCAAAAGGTCAAAGGTCAACTTCACTGTGACATCATAATGTTCTGCAAAAACACTTTTCTGGCCATTACTCAACATCATGTCTCAGGAGCAGAAGGGGAGACATTTGGTTAGATACTGAATTGGTGACACTAATTCTGGGTGTCCACCTTGAAAATGTGCTGATTATATAGATCTTCTGTACTGCCAGGGGGAAGATGTGTGTGATCTGTGTTTTCACAAACTTGACAGGTATACAGAGGCATACAACCATATAGCCATGTGCAGTGGTGCTTTGAGCAAGCGTATTAGCATGTTAATGTACAGCACAATTATGCTTACCAGCTTCGTTTAGCGTGTTAGCATTCTGACAGTTGCTAATTAGCAATAAAGTTCAGATGAGGATGATGGAAACATCATTAGCTTGGCAGGTATTTGGCCATATAATCAAGGTACTGGATAAACAGAAATTTTCACTGGATAGTGGCGCTAGATTAAAAGTCAGGGGATCAAACTTTTTCACACATCATCCTCTGGAGACCATGAATGTCTGGACCTAATTTCAGGACAATCTGCCCTACAGTTGTCAAGATATCTCAAAAACAAACAAAAATGTCAACCTCATGGTGGCGCTAGAGGAAATATCCATGGATCACTAGAGTCAAAATTCATCCTATTCATCCTTTGAGTCTATGAATTAAAAAAAAAATAGTGGTACCATACTCCGCTAGCTGAGTGATTATAGTGCATATTACATAACCACAAAGTGCTAGGTTCAATTATCCCATACCCCTCATTGTCTCCCCCTGTTTCCAGTCTGTCTTTTTGCTGTCATCTGTGAAATAAAGGCAAAAATGTCACAAAGAAAATTCATGGCAATCCAATAAATAATTGATGAGTTATTTCACTCTGGACCAAAGTGGTGGACCAACACACCTTTATTTCCAGCATAGACTAGCTTGACCAGTAGAGTCTTGAAAAGTGTCAAACCCCAGTATGTCATTCCTAGACAATAGCAAAGCTTAATTTTAATGTTTAAACACATTGTACACAAATTATGTATCAGGAGTGAAATCCTACAACTGAATTCCTTGAGGTTGTCTGATGATGGATTGTGTGTGTCTTTATCTTTGTCTGAAAATCAAGCAAGGAGGGTGTATATATGTGTGTGTGTGTGTGTGTGTGTGTGTGCGCTGATGACATCTCTGGTACAGGTGAGTCATGCCAGCATCGAGGCTCAGCGCAGAGCGTCAGTGCAACAAACAAGACGACAGCAGAGGTGTTGCTGGCTGTGTGACGCAGCTCCTGCAGCCTCTTCCACACATCAGAAGTGCCAAGAAAGAATGATTCTTTGTGGAAAAAACAATGCAACACACGTTGGCTTTAAGCAATAAAATAACATTTATTGAGATGTAACAAAATAAATAATCTGTTTTGCAACATAATAAACTGAGGAGGTCACCAATGCTCAAGAGACAGGCAGGTGTAACTGATGCACAGCAAGCTACCTCACTGACATACTCTGTGGTTAAGTTTACAAAAACCCTAAACTTATTAGTCATTATCAACACGATCTTTGTCAGTATATGAAGTCTGAATACATTGAAACAATTTAAACAGGGTCAAATAGGCTGATGAAACATGTAGGAGCTGCTGTATCAAGAGTCAAGCACCATGAGACTTCTGTCTGTAAACCTCTATGTGTGTTTTTCTTTTTCTAAAGCTCAGAAAGTAAAGAAAGATTAGTCACCCTAATTTACTATAAGTCTCCGAGGACAAAAGAAGGAAACTGACATAAGGTTTACCTAATTAATACCTACGGAAATCATCCCAAAAAACACATTGCCATATCGTAAGTTTGCGCTACACCTAAAAAAAATTGCATCAAAAATCTACACTAATCACCACATCCTCTGAAAATACTGTGGTAAATGTTGTTTCTTAGTTCTCTAAATCTCGCAATCTAGTTTTGTATGCAGTCTCCTCACAGGCTGTACAATGCCACCAATTGGGACCAACATTAAAGTATAGATGAAAGGAAGGAGCAGCCGATGACAGCGAGCATCCTCCCTGCTGAAAGGCCCTGTAGCAGGACCCTGAAACCTGATTTGTATAAAGAGGCAACTAAAAAATTAACTGTCGACTGGAAATAAAAAAAGCATCAGTGTTCTTATCTCATGCCACCCCGTTTAGAAAAGGAGTACATTATCACATGATTAAAGATAATGAAAAGCCTGAAGTATCATCTCTTACAAACACCACATCAGCCGCTTGTGCAAAATATCATTACAGAAAGACGTGAGGGAGTGGATGATGAAGACCTTTAGAGCTCATAAACCTCGGCTCGCCTGTTCGATTAGAAGATGCAGCAAAGGACAAAAGGCCCCTGAACCTGACGGCGATGTTTGTGTGTACACTCTGGGTAATCTAGATATTAACATGGGCCACACACCCTCCTTTTTTTTTTTTTTTTTAAATCTTCATCTTTGAATCCCACATAATACACTGACTTCAAAAACCAGGACATCTATTTGTTTCCTGAGGGTGAAGAGCTGCTCATACTGTATTTAGCTGAAAATGTAGACGTAATTGAACCAAATTTCCTTTACATAACTACAGTATGTTACTGGAGTAAACTGAGAGAGTCAGTTTCCAAAGTTGCAGTGCCCCCTGCTGTGTAGAGCCCATTTCATCAGAAACAGGTGGCACTGTCAACACATGGCACGTCTCACAACAAAATATCATTTTTTCCTGATAAAATCGGTCATTTTTTTTCCAACATGAGCTAAAATCTGCAGGACATGTCATCCATGTATTTAAAAAAATAAACCAAAAAAGTGTCTCCCCTACATATTTACTGAATATAAAGTCAAACCAGAACACTTTTGATGCACGATTTCAGTGTTTAGAAGTCACTGCAGGTTTATGATATAGGTCGCTGGTAAATTCGGACGATTACTGTGTTGATTTTGATTCTCCTCAACAGGTGTCAGTAGCAGCCTGCAGAGCAGACTCTGAGTGGCGCTGGGTGGCGGGCCTGAGGACAAGTTCCCTTACAAAAGCTGAGAATTTTCATTTCCCCCGGTGATTAGAGTCATCTTTGGTGATGCAATGGCTGCTGCTCCTGCATGCCGTTATCGAGCTCCGCCTCTCCACTTTACTGTCATGGTCTGTGGAGAGAGGTAAAGTTTAAAACAAGACCTGATATGAAAACTAACTTAGGAGACACTTAAAGAATAAACTCTAGTTAGGAGAGCCAATGAAAAGTGTAAAAAGACTGAAGCAAGTGATATTTAGGATGATGAATGGATCCACTTTCATCTGTTACACCCTAAAATCTACAGCGAGCCATGTCAGTCAACTGGGAAATTAAAGCAACATAAAATATGTCAAGCTTTATGTGTTTTTGCATCATATCAAGCACAGAAACTGTTGCTGAGAACACTGTGAGTGCTAGATAAACAACAGCTAGTTTTTAATGGCCGGACAGCCAGTTATTATAGTACTGAGGTGAAGGATAAATATAAGTTAGAAGTCACAGTAATTAAGATGCAACCAGTGTTTTGAGACCTTTGAATAACAGTTTGGGGAATTCAGCGAGAAACTCTCCCACGTGCAGTGAAGTCATCATGGTTTATATGACCAACAACCCAAGCTGTTGAATAACAGAAACTCTGCAGCCTTACAAGTTTAATTAGATTTGGGATGACAAAGCAGTGATGCTGTCCTTAGATCAAGTGAAACAGACACGTGAATAAATCAAACAAAAGTTCGTTGTATTTTTGTATTGAAACAAGTGCCTCTGATGTGCATTCATTTGCATGCAAGAGAAGTTGTAACTGTAAAAGTGTTTCCCATGTTTAAGAGTCAAGAAATATTCATTTATTGACTATTCATTTATTTATTTGCTCATGTGCTTTCACAGCAAGCAGTATTATAATAACTTATGAAGAATGTTAGTTCTGATATCACAAAATTTTAATAGCACATATACAGTGACAACCATGGAAAAATACATGTGGTTAGATTTAATCAGATTTTAAATTCATGATATGAATGTCAAATCATGCATGAGAAATGATATCCTCATCATATACTGGAAGATAAGTTATGGCAGAGAGCAGTGACGTTGAGAGGAAGTGAGAGAAAGTTCTGATTAATGAGAGAGACAGACGGAGGAAACTTGGATGAGTGAGGGAGACCAAAAAAACAAGACAAAGCGAAGGAGATCGACGTCAGAGATGAAACATATGTCATTTTTTGTTATTTCCGCAGTCCTTTTGGTAGAGGGAGAAGATGTATAAAAAAGACTGTGCCATTTCCCTGCCCACAGGTTTTATTTTTGTACACTGTCGCTTGGTGAGTCAATGCAACGCCCCTCCAATTACCTCCCACTCCTTCGCCCCCACGCCCCATCCATCCCGCCCTTCAGCCCACGCACCTAACACACTCTGACGTCAGTCGCTGCCAAGAGGGGGGGTCCGATTCTGCCGCCCACAGAGTACTTCCTACCCCCCCTCCCCTCCCTCCCCGCCCCCTCATGTCTTTGCTGGCTTCCTTCTCTTCGCTTCATCTCTTCAACTGGCTATCACAGCCCAGAACGACTAACTTGCCCAGATCACTTGCTTCTTTTTTTTCTCTCTTTCTTGTGAGAAGCTGTGATGCATCAGAAAAATGCTACAGTAACAGGGTATTAAAGAAGTGCTATAACAGTGTAACACCACCCTCCCCCCTCCCTCTCTACCCTCCTTCTCTCACTCTTTTCCTCTCTATATATCGCTCTACACCTCCTTCTGTTTCCCCCTCTAACTTCTATCCTCTCTAATTTACAGTCTGGTGAAGTTCAGCTGTGCATGGTGGGAGGCGTCACCTCAGAGAGATTGTGACTCACTACAGTTCAAGCTCTAGAGCTATAAAATATTCATTGTTAGGGAAAGGTTAGGGAGTCTCCCGTCTGTCATTTTCAATTCGACCCCAACATCAGCTCGCTCTCCTTTAATCCCCCCTCAAATTCCAACTTTAAGAAAAAGTTTGATATTTTGGAAAATAAGCTAAACTGCTTTCTTGCAGAAACTTAGGCGAGAAGACTGACACCACTCTCAACTCTGTGCGCCAAATATAAAGCTAACACCAGCAGCCAGCTTAGCTTAGCATAAAGGCTGGAAACAGGGAAACAGCTAGCCTGGCTCTGTCCGAGGGTAACATAATTTACCTCTAAAGACTTTATTTTTTATTTTATTCAACCTTTATTTCACCAGGCGAATCATCAGGAACAAATTCTAATTTTCAATAGCAGCCTAGCAAGTGTACACATTATATCTTGTGTGTTTAATCTCTACAAAAACCAAAGTCGAGAGCTGCTTCCAGCCAAGAAATAGCACATAAACTCCCTGTCATAAGGCAAATTGTGATTTTAAAAACTGTTTTTACAATTTTGCTCCCATTAAACAAACAAAGATGCTAACCTGTGAGTTTTGGACAGAGTCTTACCAGCAGTTTCTCTGTTTCCAGTCTTTTTGCTATGCTATGCTATTGGGCTGCTAGCTGTAGCCTTACATTTACTACTCAAATATAAAAGTAGCATCAATCTTTTCATCTAACTTTTTTGGCCAGAAAGCAAAGAGGCATATTTCCCAAAATGTCAAACTATTTCTTGAACCTGAACAAAGTTGGACAAACATTGTAAAATAGACTTTTATTCTGTGAGCATTGTTAAGCACATGATATAGTTGAGTCATTATTGAAAAAGTCACCTGAAGAGTGAGTTCGTTCTGACCCTAGGCTGATCTTGCCAGCCCGATCATGTGACACCATCCGAGCCAATCGCAGCCCTTCGTCCATTAGCGTTTGCTGTATGAGGTGGCGACTCCAGCTGGCGGGGTTGGACGTGTCGGTGTGGGGACGGGGGGATGGAGACTGGTTGCACTGTGAGCCGATGTCTACCAGGACAGACAGATTTGGGTGTCAATGCTGCCTTCAAACTCTAAGTTCTTATAGAAACAAGCAGGAAGAACGTCTGGAGGCGAAGATCAGCTGATCAAATGATCAATTGAAGACCAGTTTACAGCTCAGGCAAAAACAACAAGCACATTTTTTATGACTAAGAGGTCAGAGGTCTTTACCGTGTGAAACACTGTCGAGGCTTTCTGCAGATAAGCTGTCATCATCTGCCCTCTGGGTCAAACTCTCTGAGCCCTCCACTCCGAGAAGTGATGACACGCTCTCAGGCACAATTACCTAAAACACATCATTGTCAATGTAACGCTGATGACCCACTTACAACAATTGACAAGTGACCTGAACTTTGGCTACGTTTATGCACAAGGTCCTGTGTTAGAATCACCCATTTGTCTAGAAGAAGACACACTGAATATTGCTGCTCTGAAAACTCTGAAAACTCACCTCATGTCTCGGCCTCTTCTGGGACAGCACACTGTTCTCATCTGCATTCGACCTGCAGAAGGAAAACAGCGGAGCCAATTTAACATAAAAGTTCGCTCTTGACCTTGGAAACAAGTAATTTTACAAAAGTAGATTCTGACTCTGGCACAACTTAACAGTTTTCTTTGCAGAGCTTTTAACAGCAAGGTCTTTCTCAGTAGATAGAGGTTCTGGTTTAAGTCTAAGGAACAAAGCTAGTAAACGTCCTTGGCGGTTTTCTTTTAAAACATCATCTAATGTTTTTAAATAAGATACAGAAAGAGACAAGAAGTCGCAGTCAATACAACTTTTATTCAATTTGTGAAAAGACCTGGAACATAATATTAACTGTGATTATTACGCTGCTTTGTTACATACTCCATTCTGATCGGTCAATGGCGGCAGTCTGTTATTTCTGACAGACAGTTGCTATGGACACGCTTCTAATCATAGATGCTTAGCAGAAGCAATGAAATCATTTTTAAATCAGTATTTTGTGCCGTGTGCCTTGATGCAGGACCTCCGCTTTGCTTAGCATAGGGTTGTGTATCACCCTGTTGGGGTTTATTTTGCTATAATGACCTACTCGCTGTGCACTATCTGACTTTCCCAATAAACGAAATGTAGTTATCAGAATAATTTTTGTGCAAACATATATTTTGGATGAGGGTGTAAACATTAGGCTGCCATATGGTAGTGAGTAGAAGGGGGAACTTTTTTCTTAGCATACGTGTATTTTGTCTGAATCATTTGACTAGGAAATGTATGAAAACTATCTATATATCTGAAATAAAGACACTGTTAAACAACGGGATTTGAAACACTCGTTAACTCTGATATAATAATTTCATGAGTGCTTGTTGTTATTTTCTGCAGTTCATCCTGAGGGAAAGCTGATGACAAACTGCTGGTATTTACTTTCACAAAAATGATGTGATGTTTTGTGCAAGTTAACAAACACAGAGGGGATTCGTGTGTGGCTCCAAAGTTAGCTCATTATATGAACACTACAGAGGCTGGAGTTTAATTCCCACTGTGATCTGAACCAGGTTCATTGAGAAAATGAATGTACTGGTGGGAAGATGACTCATAAGTGTTTTTTTGCAGCTATGATATGATGTCTTTATTTCACATGTGGCTTATTATAACAAGATGCTACTCTACCTTGAATGTATTTTAAGGTTCGCTACGTTGCTGTGGAGGTTCTGGACTTAAATTAAGTCTATATCCCTGATTCGCTAACAGATTTTTTTTCTCAAGATGGAGCAATGAAGAGACAGCAGGTGTGAGGTGTGTTGGTTACTGGTTGCTGGGTGAACACATCACTCTTCTCTAAAGACAGCGCCCCTACCTTGCATGCTTTAGTGTGGAGGTGTAGGCACATTTTCTCGCCACCTGCCGAGCCAAAGAAAAGAGCTCCACCCGTCTCAGCAACAGGGCATTGTCGCGCATACAGAACTGGGCTGCAGCTTCATTGATGATCAACTGAGGAGGAAAAGCACTGTGTGAAGGAGGGACGGACACTGTGAAAATAACACGCAGACAATAAAGAAATCATATTTTTTTTGTTTGAAATGATATTTATGGCTGATTACAGCTGACCTCTGGATGTGAACGTCTCGTCACTGACAGGTTATTGCAGGTATAAAACATGATGTGATTCATTCAAACCCTTTGTTCTTGTCTTTGGTGCTTTTACCTCGTGATGTGTGAGCTGCTTCCCCTCTCTCCTCTTGGAGTCAAAGCGTCCATAAATGAGACTGTACTTCCGGATCTCTTCTTCTTTGTTCACGTCCTGGGACCCCATCTTGAAGATGTGTCCCACAGTCTTTGCCATCTTCTTGTTCATCCGAAGCAGAGTCTTCACCTCTGCAGGATCTGACCTGGGCAGGGTCCTGAGGAGCCGGTCCACGCTCTCCACCACCGCCCTCGCCGTCTCCCCATCCAGTTGTCCTGTGGGCCAGGCTGACAAGGCCGCCGGGGCAAAAGAGGCAGAGGAGCTGGGAGATGTGGAGGGACCTGGAGGACATGTTGACAGCAGAGGAGGGCTTGGCGGCTCCTCCTCTATTCCAGATGCAGATGTCAAAGTGCAGTTCCCGTCAGGCTCTGGGCTGAGCCAGTGTGGGTCCATGGGTGACAGTTTTTCCCTGTAGTGTGCATCTGGTGGCTGTGGGGAGGCCTGGGAGCAAGGACTTCTTGGGCTCCCACTGTGCATTGGAGTCAGACATGCCCGGTCTTCCCTTTCACACGGTGACCCTGGCTGCCCATTGCTCATAGACTTCCTGGGCCCACCTGCTGACCCACCAGTGCCCGTCCCATCCACTTTGAACAGCGGGATGCCCCCAAGAGGAACATTGGAGACGGGCTGGCTGAAAAGGGCAGGGTTGGCCGCCCAGTCTCGGAGGGCCTTCTGGAGCCTACGCACATGCAGCGGCTTGGTGGCCATGCCAACTAGTGCCATGATCTCCAGAAACTCCTCCTCTGCTGCCTCGCAGAGCTGCTGCACATCGTCACCACCCTGCTGGATGAAGGTTTCATAATAGGCCAGCAGGTTGGCCCTCTGCAGCACCCGATAGAGCTGCAACTCTCCAAGTGTGCGTGGCAGAGACATGGCACAGCTCTGGAAAGTTTAGGCAGGAGAAAGGAAAGACATGAACCTGCAGGTGGAGAAATCCTTTACAAGTTATTTATTTAGATAAAGATTCTGCCATCTGGACTGCACCTGTTTGAACTCTTCTGTTTTAATGAAGCATTAACAAACATAGATGAATATAGGAAGTTCATGCATGCTTTGGAGCAGACTAGTTCCTTCACATGCAAACTATTTTCACCTTTATAATCACGTTTTTCCTCAGTCATGCCCCAATATGAGTGACGTTTGAATACACATGAAGCTCTCTTACCTTCTTCAGGTCAGGTAGACGGATGTGCAGAGAGGGGACCGCTGTTATTACGCAAAGGTGTCTCTCCAAACCACCGATGTCACAGGTCCGTTCTCTCGGAGCGAAACTGACAAAGAAATAAAAAACTAAATTTCGGTTGAACAATGAGACAAACGCACGTCACATTTAGATCACACTAAAGTAGAAACACTTGTACTATTGGCTCCAGCTCAGACAATAAAACCATCGACTGGAGACAAGTATTCCTGAGCCAGATGTTCGCAGAAAACACCCTGCGCAGTTGTTATCCTATTCGTTTCTTACCCTGTTACCTATTGCCGACAGCTTCCCCGGCTCAGATTGGCGTAGTAAATCCCCTTTGCGTATCGTACCTCGTCTGAAATCACTGGCAGAAATCCTCCTCCGGCGCAGCGTATTGGTTGCTGGCTGCCCTGTCTGTGTGGGCTGGAGAATGACGGGGGCGGACTGCAGCACGCCATCTGACCGAAAAAGAGCCTTCCTCTCCCGGTAGAGAGGCGGCTTTCAAATTGGAGATGTGGGTGGTGGTGGTGGGGGCTTGAAATTAACCCTCTACGTCTTCAAGATTTGTCTTTTATGCAGAAGCTGTGGGGGGTTCCCGGAGTTTCGCCATGTGAAAGACCCCTAAACAAGCAGTCATCAGCACTACCAACGCTGGAGACTTATTTAGACAACAATGAACAGATGTGACAGATGTGGGTTTCACTGAGCAGTCATCTGCTCTTAGGTGGGTGGTCGTAAATTATTCTGTGAGTACAGGTGAAACGCAGTTATCCCCCCCCCCCCACTACTTTTTAAAAAATGCTGGTGTTATATTGCTTTGCAAATTTAAAGGACCAATTCACCCAAATAAGCTTATCCCCAACAATATCAACTGCCCGTGCACGGGATCAGCATCTGCAAACCTTGCTGCTTTCTCTGTGTGTACTGTTAATGTACTTTTTATTGCACAATCTCACTGCTAATGCCCCAAAACATCACACACAGCTCTGCACCTTATAGATCTGCCACACGATATTCTCTTGTGTGTACAACCCAGGGCTCATTACTCTTCTGTTTTATATATACCATTATGCTATTTGCCAGAGATACCACAGCTCACACACAGTGACTGCATGTGTGGTATTTATTGTGCACCTACTCCTCACTTCTAGGGTTGCCAGGTTTCCAGTCTTTAAAGCAGTAGCCTAAAAGCCACCTGTCACCATGGTGAACATAGTATAACGTAGACCGTAGACGACTTTGCTCATAAAATACTTTGACATAATGAGGTATTTACAGCCCACAGAGTACATGCTGTCTTCCTGGTTTGCTTGCAAAAGCATCTTCTCGTGGGACAATAAATTGATTGATCGCTGCCAGGATTTATTTTGCAGGATAAAGTCAGGCTGAGTGAAGTCAGACACATGAACTGGAGAAATGCTCAATCGTTGTCTTCAAAGAAGATGCACTGGGTAAAGTTAGTAGGCTGTGATACACTATATGACCAGAGGTATGTGGACAGTGGGTAGTAGTAGCAATCACTGGTCACAGAGCAAGTAGTTATCCATAAAAACAACTCAGAGACAAACAAGTCCAAATCCAAAGGTTTATTCCAAAAACAGCAGGCATCAAAAACCAGAAAGGCAAACAAAGGAAGGCAAACTTCACCAGGCAGGGAGTAGGCGAGAATCAAAATCCGATAAATAAAGCGGGGTTCGGGATCAAGATCAGGTCACAGGTAGTAATGCTGCAATGCTTAGATAACACAGAGTACAATCTGACATAGAGCAGGTGAATGTGGACGGTATATAAACTGCCAGGATATGGAAAAGGAAGCAGGTGAGTGAGTGGGTGGAGGAGGTCAAGTGGGAGAACTGGCGGGAAAGGAGATAGTGGAGGACAGGAGGAAGTGGCAGGGAGAGTATGCAATGCAATGTAACTGAACAGACTGACTGAATGAATACAGAGTAATCAGGGAGGAGTTGTGACAACAGGAAGGGACTGATTGTTGCAAAGCTCCTTAGCTGGAGTCAGGACTGAGCAAAGGATTTATCTACCATTTTTTACACCTTGCACGAAGGTTCATTATGCAAAAACAAGCAAAGGCCTTCCTCAGTTGCCACACTGATTGGAAGCACACTATCATCTTAAATGTAATTTAAATATCCATTTATCCATTTTCTGTCACTGCTTATCTTGTTAGGGGTCTTGGAGTGGCTGAAGCCTATCCCAGCTGACACTGCGTAAGAGGCGGGGCATATCCTGGACAGGTTGCCAGACTAATGCAGGGTAATTTGAATATATTTTCTAGAATTAAGATTTCCCTTAACTGGAACTAAGGGACCTTGATCAAACCATATTGATAGGCTTGTCCAAATGCTTCTAGTAATGTGTATAATGCTCATTGAAGCATCCTAAGAAGGAATTATTACACATTTGCTTTATGGATATACTGGTGGTATGTTATCCTATGGATCTATTTAATATTTTAATGTTTCTATCTATCTATCTATCTATCTATCTATCTATCTATCTATACGGGTAAAGGGCTGTGTTAAATTGTAAAGCTTATTTAACAGGATGAGTAGAGTGAAAATAAATGATACAATATTGGATTCAGCAAAGGAAAATCTACTTTAAAAAAATAAAGATTGTAATGCCTCAGCCATACCGATAAATCAGTGGGTGGCAGTAGTGCCTTTCTGAGTTGTTTGCTAACACCCAGAAAACGTCGAAGAAGAAGCAGGGGGAGGAGGAGGAAGAAGAAACTGGGAGAAAGTAGGAAAAGGAGCAGGAGAAGAAGAAGTGGCTAAAAAAAACAACACGGACACTTGGCTTGTCTGTTAACAAACAAGGTTACACAATTATCCGAGAGGTATATATGACATCTAGTTTGTTTGAATGTAAAATGCAAAATAATTTGCCTCATTACTGGGCTCGTCCGTTGACCAAAACATGCCTTAGCTTGCTTCCCCACAGGAAGGGGACGTTAATATTAGCTAGTCCAGCTCGCTACTGTTATTAGCTAACAGTTAGCTGCTCGGTTGGCTGTCTGCTAGCTAAAGACGTAAACAGTTTGCTGCTGTGCTGTCGTTTAATCTGCGTTTGAGACCTTATTTAGTCGAAATGTTGTCAGGTTAGCCAGCCAGAGGCAAGCTAATTTTAGCCCCTGTAGCGCCTGTCTGTCATCCTGTTGGTTGGCTGCTTCTTCATGCTAACAGCTTGGCTGTCTGCTAACATTAGCCGCCTTGAAAATATCTGGTGATGTTATCAGTGTTGCATTAATATCAAATTAGCCCGTCAGCCAGTTCACCAGACAGGATTTACTGCTCTGCAATGGCTGGTTTTCTCGCTTTTTATTGGATCTCAAAGGTCAAACGTTTGTGCATGTAGCTCGTTTATAGAGACACCGTGTTCCTCTCTGGCTAACAAGTAAGCAAATAATAGTAAACTGCATGTAATGTGTGTGTGTGTGTGTTGTACTATTGCACATGTACGTGTCAAAACACGTCTGGATGTCTTCATTTATTTATGTTCACGTCTGTAACACTTGTGTGCTGGACAGATGAGATCATGTAGCTACAGCACATGTAGGTTAATCATTAATAAATGACATTACTCATTCGTTCTTAGTTTATTTATTTAGCTAAAGCTTCTCCGAAAGTGTATTGGTATACGGTTATTACGGTTGTGATGAACTCTGGTGATGGCAGAACAAATGATCTCCTCTTCATAGAGCTGATAGCAGCTGGTGTAAGGTAAAGAAAATCTACTTGACCCCACATACAGTGTTAGTTTATTCCTGGGCTGCAGCTAATTGATATTTTCATGATCGTTTAATCTGTAAATTCAACAGTTTAGTCTATAACATGCTAGAAGATAGAAAATGCCTTTCACCGTTCAGAGTCCAGAGGGGCTTGTTTTGTTGACTGACGAACAGTCCAAGCCCAAAGATATTCAGCTTACAATGAGAAAAGCAGCAAATCCTCATGTTTGAAACGCTGAAACCAGTCAGTGTTTGACATTTTAGTTTGATAAATAATTAAAATGATGAATTTGTTCTTTGCAGTCAGCTTTCTGTTAACCAAATCAATCAGCTGATAGAGAAATGGTTTCAGCTCTGGTGCCCTGTAGGAAGTGCAGTATGGATAACATCTATTGTGGTATGTTGTAATTTAATATTGCTTGGTTCATGTGTAATGCAGCGGTTTTTCTTGAAAATTGAGTTGAGTTCTATATCTAAATGTCTAAATAATAGATGCGTCTTGACATTGGTGCAAAGAGCTGAGGTCCATTATCAGTACCAGTGGTCTGATTAAAGGGATAGGTGCAATAGTTTAAACAGTATGGCAAAGTCTCTGGTGGCTGATGAATTTAAGGTGTAAAAATCTGCATTATAATATAAATGATTGCTTTTTACTCTTATAACTCTGCTTATTCAACATGTGGGTTTACACTGAACTCTGTGTTTCTTTTCAGATAACAACCTGGTGCATGATGTGAGGTGTGTAAAAGCCTTTTGACACCTGGAAGCGGCTGCTGATATGGTGGACCTGAGTCTGACCCTCAGGAGCCCCCAGTCTCACTTTTTATGAGAGCCTGGGGAAAATGTTGCTACAGATTATGGATCTAGGATATCATCTTCCATGAGATTCCAGTTTCACAGCGCCTCAATCAAACAGCTGTAAGAAACATGGAGAGAGAAGCAGCTGAGAAGGAGATGGATGGCATTATAGACGCTGATGAGAAGATGCCTGATGGTGATCCCACCTCAGTGACTGAGTCTACTCAGTCGGAGGCCAGACAGACTTATGATGAATGCGGGCAGGAGGACGAAACAGCCTATCTCAAATCTCAGGACACCCCAAATCCAGCTACTCCACAAGACTCTGGAATTGGTGAAGCAGAGTATTGTGGATCTACAGAGGCCAAAGAGGATACTGAGGAGGCTTCAGATGGTTTTGAGCAAGATGACACTGCAGATCACGAGAACTCGCATGTTATAAATCAAGAGGAGGATGAAGCTGCAAAGGAGCAGCACATGAATGGGGAGTCTGGGTGGAGGAACGTAGGACCTGGACGGAGATGCAAATTGAAGACTGGTGGGTCAGTCTCAGAGCAGAGCGGTCAAAGTGCTTTTTCCTCCATTCAAAAAGGCAATGTTATGTCAGGTGGTGGACGGCACAAGCAGACCCGCAGACGTAACCACCACCACCATCAACAGACCCGAGGCCGCCGGCGAACGGGCAACCAGCTTGTCTTGGCTTTCAAGGAGATGCTGTCAGAGTCTCTGAGCTTTTGGTGCATCTCCTGCGTCCACATGATGATTGAGATTATTGTCACATTAACTCACAATTGTGGAGTCGGTGTGGAGACTGGAGGGGTGAAACTATACAACTTTGGACAGCAGCTTCTTGTAAAGATCACAGACATTGCAGGAATGAAGGCTGACGCTTGTCGGATTCTGAAATGGACGAAATGCACAGGAGCAGACCTGGTGGATAAAATTGTTAGGTCGGTAAAGTGGGTAAAGACAGCTGCCTTATCATGTTTAAGACTTTTCTGCGCTATTGTTATTCTCGGCTCCCAGTGGGCAAAGGGTGCGTTGGTTCGCCTTGGCGGAGAGAGGGGAAAACGCTATTGGACAGCTTTTCAGGAGTCAAGGTTTTGGAAAAGGGTGCTGTCCCTGCTGGAGAGAGTCCGAAGCAGGTTCCGGAGGCGAAGCCAAGTACCACCGTCCAGCCCTGACTCACCCGGCAGAGCAGGGAGGAGCCAGCCAGGCCAGGAGCTGGAGAGACTGCTGGCCTTGGCTGAGGTGCCAGAGGATGAGCTCGACCCCTTTACAGTGCTTGGTGTGGAGGTGCACGCCACTGAGGCTGAACTGAAGAAGGCCTACAGACAGCTGGCTGTCCAGGTGTGTTTGTGTGTGAAGTGCCTGCAGCTGAGTAAAAATACAGCTGTTGGATGCCTGAATTAATGACTAACGAATTGCATCTGAGGCAGAATTTTTCTTCTTTACTCATACAACCTTTTCCTCTGTACTTTCTTCTTCAGGTCCATCCAGACAAGAATAAACACCCACGAGCTGGAGAGGCGTTCAAAGTACTGAGGGCTGCCTGGGATATCGTCAGTAACCCAGAGACACGACGAGAGTATGAGTTGTGAGTACACAGAAAAAGCGGTTTTCACAGGAAAAAAACAACTAAAAACAAATCAAGTATCTGCCAAAACTAGGGATGCACGATACTGGATTTTTTGCCGATATCCGATATATTAAAACTTATTTGGCCAATAGCTGATACCGATATATCCAGAGTCAAGAGTCATATCAAGAGTCTCATCTGTAGTGGAATTAACATCATATTTTGCATGCATACTCTTATTGTGATGGTCCACCAGCAGATGGAGACATGAAATACAGTACTTTCAAATGTACGTAATATTTATTCATTGTGCAAAATAAGAAAAATCGTCCGTTTCTGTTCAATTTAAAGCCAATATCGGCCAATACGGATAATGTGCTGATATTATCACGTATCCCTAGCCATAACAACTTAGTAGCCTTTAAAAAAAAAATCTTTTATTAGTTACATTGATACAATAATCGTTTATTTTTTCTGCAGTTAAGTTGTGTCATCAGTTTGGTAGAATATAATCTAACTTATTATTTCTCTCTCATTCCCTGCCTCTCAGTGAACACTGTCCTTTAAATATTTATACAAAATTTAAGTTTCAATATACCATAAAACTTAAGTTAAAAGCCCAGTTCCTTTCACTAGCCCAGTGTGGCTACACATTTTGACAAACGCCTGTCTCAATTAGATGCCTGGTCTGGTTGCCAAGCAATTCATTTTTTAATAGAAGCTCTCTGGATGTATAAAACCGAGTTGTTGGCTCTACCTTGAACATTCCTCACTTAACCTGTAAGTTTTTCATATTCCTTAAGTCAGTAAGAGTCCTCAGATCAAAAGAATCAAAAGGGTTTTTCACAAAAATTAATCAGTTCAACAGGACAATGTCGTGTTGTGTCGGTATGCCAGGCGCTGTAACTCTTTGTCTCTCTTTGATGCTCTGTCTGTCGAAGCCACATCAAGTGAATGATTCATAATTGATATGTTATCTGAAGCCTTATTTTTAAAGAAGTAATATTCATACTGGTTTAAATAAACAATTTGATTTTATTTCCTGATCTTTTCTGAACAAGGCATTAAAAGTCTGTCCCAAATATAGACCTGTTGATTTCAGTGATTTAAGCAAATAATAACCAGGGCTATTAATTGAAGTCTTACTGTATTTAAAATAGTGATATGATATTTCAATCAAATCAAATCGAGACTGACTGGAGCTATCGTAGGCATATTGTTTTAAGATGTACAGTGTTCTCTCATGAAATTATGTGGGTTAATGAACGTAAAATTGTACAGTGATACAGCAGCAGGCTACAAGTCATTTACAGTGGAAGCTGGTGACATGAATTTGAGCTGGCCTCAACTTTTTTAAGTGCTATAATGATGTGCAGTGCACACAGGGATGAAATAGGATAGTGAAATCTGATGTTATATTGGGACCAAATACAAACTTAAGATGCTGTTTTGTCGAGGTGCTTTTTGGCAGGTAGCAGACACACGCAAGCCTGTGACATCGTAACCACTAGGGTTTGAGCAACACTTCAGTAGCTGGTCACACTGTTGCTTGTCACTCGTAGTGTCATCGCTCATAGTGTGAACACAGCATTAGGCGTGTTATGTTCATGTATCACCAACCGGTATGTTTGGTTCTCACACAGGAAGCGTATGGCAGCGACAGAGCTCTCAAAGTCCATGAATGAGTTTCTCACCAAACTGCAGGATGACCTGAAGGAAGCCATGAACACCATGATGTGCACAAAGTGTGAAGGAAAACACAAGTACGTTGTTACACACCCTGCACATCATTAAGTGTCAAATGTCTCCTGAAGTTAAACATGTTCTACACACAACTGGGTCTCGCCTGATGTGGTAAACTTTCACCACAGTTGTGTTTCCTTTGTGACCTGTGTCTGTCTGTGCAGGCGGTTCGAGATGGATCGTGAACCTGCTGAGGCCCGGTTCTGTGCTGAATGCAATCGTTGCCATAGCGCCGAGGAGGGGGACCTGTGGGCTGAGTCCAGCATGTTGGGCCTACGTATCACATACTTTGCCTGTATGGATGGCAAGGTGTATGATATTACAGGTGAACATCAGCTTTTTGTGAAGATCATCTGCACTCGTCACCAGTAACTTAACAGTCATATATTCTGTAGTTTACATGAGCTCATATATTATCTGTATCCTCCCACTCAGTACTCGTATTCCAAGGTGCAAGAAAAGATTCAGAACAGAGTTTTAGAGTATCTCTGAGATCCATGTTTTCCTCACATGTGACCTGTTGTGATGCTGTCTTGTTTCAGAGTGGGCTGGTTGCCAAAGAATAGGCATCTCTCCTGACACACACCGTGTGCCCTATCACATCTCTTTTGGTTCAAAGAACAACAGCAACTCCACACGACACAGGTACGTCCCCTCAAGTGAAACAGTCTGTTTGCGCAGTTTGTGATAGTTTTGGGTTTTGTACATGTCTGTAACATCTGCCATAGTTTTCCTATATATAAACATATATATAAACATATAATGCAAATATCAGTAGCAGACAAAAGAGCCCTCTTATGAAAATGTGAAGTATTATGGTACATGATATTTCTATTACTGAGACAAATTTAGGACACAGTTAACAGATAACCAGACAACTCTTTTGTAAAATGTGTTTGTACATGTAATAACTTAATTTTAATCATTTTGTTCATCTTCTGTAATTTCCTTGTATCTCCGCTGACAGAGCACTTTCCTGTGTGACAGATACATTTCCCAGACTCTAATATGTGTGGTGCTGGAGGGGCTTCCCTTGTGTTTTGTTGTGATAATGATGTTAAAGGTTTACTATGGGAGAATTGTCAGTTCCTGTTTGTAAACACAACGTTCAGACTTGGCCCCTCTTCCCTGCCCTGCATACACATACACTGCAAGCTACTGTTTTAGGAAAATTGCATTTGTTGTAGTGGAAAGGCTGATACTTTAGCAAACTAACTAAGCTAATGACCGGCACCTACCTGTCCAAAAGAAAACAGGCTAACTCCATGTCACTCTTCATCCTCATCCTCTCCTTCAGTGCTCGCCAGCAAAAGTGACAGCCAACCTGAGATTAGAGCTGGGTATTGTTCAGAAAATTATGATACCAATACCAGTAACCTTAAAGTGATATTAATAGCAACAGAGACATTCATTTCATACCCATCATGCAAATGAAGGCATTTAGTTGCATAAAATACAATCAGATGCCACAGGTGTGTAGTGTAGCCATACTTCCAAATGATTTGATTGCATCTCGATATGCTAAACTGCCAGGTCCATAGAAACACCACGCTCGACTTCACCACACCACAGACTGTATGAGCTGTAGCTGCCGCAATGATGAGCCAATCATGACACATTCAATTGAAGAATGCCTGCAGTGATTAGCTGTGAGAAATACTATTCAAATAATCATATTGCTCTACATCTGGGTAAAAAGGACTGAATGCAAGTGTTGTTTGACTAAAGAAATGTTGATATTACTTTGTGCAGGGTTACCTTGGCTAGTAACTTAAAGGTATCGAGTACTGAGCCCCCAACCCACTTGCGATTTCATTATTTTGTCAGAACGAGCTTTGTCTGCTTGCCATTTTACAAAGCTATATTTTTATTAAGTCCCGCCTCACCTGCGTGCTGTGATTGGCTGGGAGGAACAACAGTAACAACACTTACTAACAACAGTAAGAAAATACAGGCAGAGGGCAGCAGATAGTGCACCACCACACACTTCCAGTGTCTCGGAGTCTACACATTTAGGTCATTACAATTTTTTTTTCTAGTAAGATCATGCATAGTAAACAAAAAACAAAACCAGTGCTGTTGGCTTTTTAATATACTTTGTTTCAGATTATTATCAATTCCTCGTTTCCCTCATTTATAATTGGCCATAATTTATTCAGCTCACATGCTGTTGCCACATGGCTGTCTATAAAAGCACAAGAGACCATCATTTCACTTGAAGCTGCAGTGTAAAAAATCTCCGATCTTTCTGACTGTCACTTTCAGGACGCCCTCAGAGCACGCCACAGGTCCCGCCAACCCTGCAGATCTGCAGGACTTCTTTAACCGCATCTTCAAGGGAGGGCCTCCTAACGACATGGCTGCCAACGGGGGCTTCTTCCCCTCAGGTCCACCCCATCATCACCCACCTGGTGCTGGAGCGCCACCGTTCTCCCCTCCCCCAAGCCAGACAGGTTTCTACATGCCGGGGGGTCAACGGCCAGAGTCCAGCGAGACGTGGGCTGAAAGTGGCAAACCCCCCAGACGGAGGAAGAAGGTGCGCAAACCCTTCCAGAGGTGAAGCTTGTCAACCTCTCAGTGTATCAACATAGCAACACAGGGACACAATAAATAATGGCCATGTTTGTCTCTCGCCTGCCTGTTGGCATGCCAAGATCTGAACTGGAGATTATTCATGTGGGTATGGCTGCAATCAGACCAGCCAGGGGAGAGAGAGAGAGAGAGAGTGAGAGAGAGAAAGAGAGAGAGAGAGAGAGAGAGAGAGAGAGAGAGAGAGAGAGACTGGATCATGAAGAACAAGTATTGAAGGAGGGCTGAAGAGGTGGCAGTGATGGTGCTTTACCTCTCATTTCACCTTAATTTTTTTTTTTGTTGGTCTTTAAGACGACTGTAGCCTTGGCATTGAAATCCTTATTGGGATGCTGTAATGAAACGTTTTCCTGTCCTGCCAAATCCTGCGATGCATGATTTATTCACCTGCATTTTAACACTTCAGTTTTCTCACTTTTGTTGTTAATGTTTTGTATAAGGTTAGTTTGAGACATTGGTTCCAGACAGAGTGACACTTGAAGAGAGGGTTCGTGTGAGTTATGGATCACTATAATTAACATGAAGAAGATAATTATCTGGGCAGCTGAACTGTCAGTGGTTATGTTTGATCTGCACCTTGCCCACCATATTTCAAGAATGAACCGAAACCAGTTAAACCCAACACATATGAACGAAATTTATAAGACTTATGCAGTAGCCACATTTTTATGGGTGAGATGGCCCGAGAGATTTTACGGTAACATCAGAGGGTAGGGTGTGAATCTCTGGTAGTGAGCCCACAGACAGCAAGATTTCAGTACACAAACCTTCCACGCAGTCAACCTCTAGCATTTGGGATCCATGGAGGTGACTAGCATTTGTTATTTTTCCTACTTATTTGTTATTATAAACAAGAAAATTGTCTTTTCGACTGGCAGTATGCAAAATTTAATATTACCTGAATCTTTCTAGAGCTGTGAAATAACAAATGTCTCTAGAAGTTCAAGTAAACCCTTCCAGAGTTGTATGAATATATGGCAGTTTGTTCAGATGTATTCATGCAAAAACTGATGCTGACATTTGTGTGGCAGCTACCAGAGAATCACATCCTGCATTTATTAACTGAGCCTGAGAGGTGAAAGTGAAGATCTGGACCTGAGTAGGGAAAATGATTAAAGAGCCATTTTTGTTTTGAGATATACTGATTCAAACACACTTACTCTGCCTGCTGTTTATTGTCTCAGCTCCAGATTGACATTATAATTACACCGCAGGTTCAAATTTAACAGCAGGAGTGAGCTCAGTTGTGTTTCTATAATACTGAATAGCAGCTGAGCTGCTTTGAGAAGGTCTCGAAAGATTAATAGTGACACCTTGACATTTTGAAATGTTGATATTTTTCTTCGGCAGGACCTCATTTATGTTTTAAAGACCACACAGAATTGATCTACACCACCCCCCGTCGATTCACTGTGTAACCACACGAAATGAAAACAGCAAAAGTGATTTACAAAGCTTATGATTAACAGCTATCAGAGTCTTACATGTAATATGACTTCAGAAATATGAGCTAGTTTACAAATACTGAAGCAAGCCTGACTTGCATGGAAACTTACAATGCTGTCATTTTTTTCCTCATCAGCCTTGTTACTTTAATATGATCATCACTGACGTTACAGTGATTCTTGAATAAGACAGCAGTTAAAAAAAACACATTGCATTTGCAACATATGCAATATGTTAATGTCATATAGTTGATTTGCATAGTTATTCATGTGGCAAGTGGAAAAACAAATGTTCCAGTAGTTTAAATATTAACACTATTTTCATGATAGTTCTACTTCCTGTTAAGTGCCATTTTATGCCAGCGATGTTGTTTCGGGGGATCTTAAGCCATCTACATCAGTGATCTGCCATGACTGTCACCCAGCTCAGGACACGTTTGTGAAGAAAAAAATCTACCATAGAAAAATAAACCTTCAAAATAATTGTACTACTCTGAGTGTGAAGAGATTACATCAGATTTCCAGGTTATTAGATTTGAAATGATTTATTTTTATCGTCTTGTTTCAGTCTGCAGTGTCGTCTCAGTGGCTCCATAATCTGACTCTTTGGAGTCTTGTGCTATAAACTGGTGTCATCTTGTCCTCTGATTAATTTTGCTACCTGGATGTGGTTCAGCTTTCAAAATGTCAAGGTTGCAGATTGTCAGAAAATCCAATCTAAATCTAAAAAACTAATTTCCTTTTGTTCCTGTATGAAACGCCATGATGGGGTCAGAAAAATGATAATGGGTTAAATATTGGGTTTTGTTTCTTGATATGGTTCTTGCATAGAAATAATTTAATTTCCCTCACAGATTAATTTAAGAAAACAGAGCTGTTATTGTTTACACCTGATATGTGAAGATTGTGAGAATGTAGTGAAATGTGTGATAAGGCGTTTGATAAAGGCTATTTTTTTATATTGACAGTTGATGATGAAAAGTACCATGTTCAATGTTTTTTTTTTTTGTTGTTGTGTTAATTTGCACACCCACCCCTGTAATAACATCAGAGGGATTCTGAACAGTCATCTGTGATTTAGCCTAACCAGACTCCTCCAGCTGCAGCTGAGTAGGAGGTGTAGCTCGCTAAGCTAACAGCTCATTTGCAAATTAAGATCTTTCTTTTGAGTGTAGAATCTGAATGTTAAATGAGTGACAAATTTTTGAAGAACATTTGAGTTGCACGACCCATCACACTCTGGTTACCACCCAGCATCAGAACTACTTTCTGGCATAATTGTAACTCATAATGTGGGTTTGTCTGGTAGCCTGAAGACAAAGATGTTGAAAATGTTGTTCGAGCTCATTGAAGCATGAGGTTAAGTTTGCCATGTTTCTTTTCATGTGTCAAATTGTTTGTCTTGTGTATGCGTTTGACCAGTTTCCCAGACATGGATTCAGTTGTCGTCAATTAAAACAGCTCTTTTAAACGAAATCCAATTTAAAATGTAAAAATAGTCCTTGAGTTGTTTGATTATGGTGAAAGCAATTTGATAGCATAAAGGAAGGTTACAGCTAAACCAGATCTACGAGGGCTTAAATTATTTTTTCAGTCAGGCAGGGTTAAATTTTACAGAAGCGTGATGCAGTCACCTGAAAAATAAAATCTCTATTTTTCTGAATTATTGTCTCAGAATTCTGAGCAAAATTTCACGGGAAAAAATACATTTGCCTTGTTTTTCTAAATGAATGAGAATTGTAAGTTTTTGTTTTTCTGACATAAAAAGATTATCTAAGTAATTCAGAAAAAGAAGCAGATTTTTTTCTGTTAAAACTTTACTTACAGGTTTGAGATAATGGTCTCATTAATTCAGAAAAATGACAAATATTTTTTCCCCCCGATAAAAACTTTTCTAATGAGTCTGAGATAATAATCTTGTCAATTCAGAAAACAAGAGCAGATGATGACACTTACAAGAAAGGTTTTCCTTTAAAAAAATCTGCTGTTTTTTGTTAATTCAGAAAGATGAACATTTCTGAAAAGAATTTTCCTCCCCATGAAAAATTTTCAAATTTTTGACACATTGATCTCCTTGATTCAGAAAAACATTTTTTTTTTTCTCAAATGTGTAATGCTATCGTAACATTCGTTCTGTTACTGTGTGATAATCAGAAAGAAATCAACCAAAATAAATTTTAAAATATTTCATTCACAAATTTGGTTAAATTGCTCCAGAATTTTTTTCCGACAACATGCAATTTTTCATCTTGCATACTCATTTAGACCTCAATTATGTGTGTTCATATCCACATTTTCAGATTTTTAGATCATAATCGATTGTCAAATAATCTGTCTTTATCTGGGAAACTGGATCCACAGCTGAAACCACGTTGAGCAGAGTGCGTTGTTATCCACACGTCCACCTTGACTTGAGAATGTACAGTCCTGTATGTTTAAAGGTAGCAGGTCGAAGTCCAAGAGGTCAATGAAAGAGCCAACAATTCAGATTTTTTTTTTCTTCCTTTTCCAAGTTTTTAACAGAATATGCAGAAGTATTGCAAAAAATATCTGACAATCATCAGGGTTTTTTTGTAGGGAATTGTAAGGCGAGTTCCCTGGCTGGCAAACAGTTTTAAAATATCACTGTTGGGTTTCTTTCCCCCGCTTTCTCTGGTTTTCAGAATAAAGATGATTTCCTATATGCACATTGTTCTGTTTTATGCTCGTTAGGTACGTAAATGATGCCTCATTTATTTTGGCAGTGCATATCAAAGTTATACCATTTAAAACATACATGATAAAAGTCAGGTTACACATGTCATCATTACAAACATCTTGATAAGAATCTGTTTTCGGTCCTTTAGAGCAGCCTGTTTGCCTGCATAGATCCCATGCTTGAATATTTCATTTTACTGTGCACCCTCACTGAAAAGAGCTCTGTGACACCATTTTACCTCACATGGCTTTTCCATTCTCTGACCTTATTATCTAATGGTGCTATGGCCATGGAAAGAGGGCAAGGTACATCTACTTCTGCTCCTTAAAAGGAGCTGTTTCAGAGAGGTGCAGATTCTTGCAGCTTGATTTGAGTCTCATTCACTCACTTGACTTATTGTAACCTTTTACAGGTTAGACAGGCTGGAAAAAAATGTAGTACCACTTTTCATAACTGTAATTTAGTCTCCCTTAAATCCAAGAGAAATCCTTGGGATCAGTCAGGAGCAGCATCATGGTGACACATTACCTTTCCTCTGGCAGTGAAGCGTTCCTCAGCTGTCCAGCAGTGAGCACTGTTCCTTCTTTTAACTAACATGATACACTTTTTTCATGTAGACAAACTCTTACAAAGCTTAGCTGTGTTTAATAAATGCTCATCAGGTCTGAGCCAAACAAAATTCACAAATAATGTTGACTTTGTTGGAGCTGCAAGGAGGAAGCGTCTCAACAGTAAGACTGAGAAACATGATTGTGATTGTCTGAACTTTCTGCTGTCTGTTGCACTCTCCTCTGTGACAAATCCCACTCATCTGGTAGGATGCAGATCAGTGGTTCCCAGACTTTTTCTGTCACTCCACCCTTTGACCTCCTCTTCCTCAAACATCAGTTCTTTGACCTTTTTTCTGGGAACAACAACTGTATGTTTGATTTCCTGTGTGTTTTTTAATGCACAAAGACACAAGGCTTTCTTGGTATATTTAAAGTCCAGTGTGTAAAATTTAGGGGGATTTAGTGGCATCAAGCACTTCTACTAGTTAAAAGGAGGTTTTACCAGAAGCTGAATTATTTGCAGAGGTCTCTTCCTCTACAAAACAAATGGGCCAGGTGATTAAAGCCAGTAAAAACACTGAATAAACCGGTTTCATATTACAAATCAGTGTATCCCTGACGCTGTTTGGTACATTACAGACAGTCAGCTTGCCCAGCACCTGCAAATATGTGCTCACCCGTTTTCTCTGATAACTTAATGTGTGCTCACGATTTAAACCGGTAGAAACATTCAGTAATGCCCTGATCACACAGAAAGCCTTCTGCAGGTTGAGAAATATGACATGCACCACACTGCCTTTTTTTTTTCTTTACAAAATTGCATGCCACTAGTAAAAAAACAGGCAACCAGGCAACCACGCCATCACCTCATCCTAACCTTTCTGTGTAATCAATCTACGATGAATTTATTCATTTTATTTATTTCATAGTAATCAGTAGCTAGATATTGGAATGGACAGGCAGAGGGTCCTTGCTGTAGCTCTGGTTGAGGATGAGAGGCTGTCAGTAAGTAGTTTGTTGGGCACAGGGAAACGGAGACCTGTGTGGTCCAGGAGCTTCACCTCAATGATGGATGTTTCCAGGCATATGTTAGGATGACTCAGCGGCAGTTTGACAACCTGCTGTCTATCATCGAGCCATATAGCTCTGGGTTTTTCGCAACTGCTACCACCAGTTTCTCCTCCATTGTTTACCAATTGTAAACTTGTTATCGTGACCACCACAAAAGGCCCGCCTCTCAAATCACCCTATTGGATGATGGACCTGCTCCCTATGTAGATATAAATGGCTTATTTCAAGGTAACTAAAACATGATTGTTTTTTTCAGGTGATTATACACACGAGAAAAACAATTTCAAAACAAATTCCATTTCTGCCAATATGTCCCCATAAATCCTTCACACTGGACCTTTAACAATAAACCTGAGAGCAAGACAGGCTTCTTTATATTTTGCATCTGATTGATAAGCATCACCTGTTTTTTTTGTACTCAAAATGTTATTTCGACTTCTGAACAAATCTCTCTAACTTGAATCCTAACAGCCTTGTGAAGTTTGTAAGACCTATGTAATTAAAACCAAAGACAAGACACTATGTAAAAACATTATTTGGCCCAGACCAGATGCTCATCTTGTAATATATACACTTGCAAATATATCTGGTTAAAAAAAAGACAGTATCATTTATATTTAAAATATTACTTCATATTTCACTCTGTACCCCCAACCCTCTCTCTCTACTAATATAGAAAACATGAATATGATCATATAGCAACAATAACTGCATCAGGTAGTGCTGATTGACATTCACTGCACTTTCAACTACAGCTTGCCTTTCAGAGTTCCCATGATGCTGCAGAGCTGAGAACAGTCTCGATAAGCCACCAAGCCGCCGTGGTTGGCCCAGCGGTCAGCTCCTTTACACTCAGTGTAAGACTGGTGGTAGGTCAGTTCTGCCTGGTGATCCTGTGGTGCAGAGCTGTTCTGTAGACACTTTTTAAGGTCCACCACCCCGCCTCCGAGGGCTCGGAGCAGGGCGTGAGGAGCGCAGGAGTCCCACTTGAAGGTGCTTCCCTCTGAGAGGACGTAAGCATCAGCTAGGCCCTGAATGACACACAGGATCTTGTAGCCGGCTCCAGAGGCGTACATCAGCTTGTCAGGGCCGCACAGCGAGCTCAGGGCTTCCTTTACCACCTGCTTCTCACTGGAGCTCAGTACCACAGACAGCCCCCCTCCTGGTCCTTCTTTAGGCCGAGACACAGAGCAGACATTGATGCTGCCGCAGGACACCCCCCAGAAATGCTTCCCCCTCCAGCTGTGAACACAAATGATTATTGGTAGGTTGAGAATACTGTACTTTCCTTTCCTTTCCTAAATGGCAGTTGCTCTGTGTCTGCTATTTGGTGAGGAGCAGGTTTTTCTCTGAAAACTGCCACCTGCTGCATCCGAAAATGATGCAGTGAGAGAGGTGAGAGTGAACTATAACAATAAAGTTACAGACCGGATGACTTAATGGCTCAGTGAAGCCAAGATGAGCTGCAGACTCAGGTGATCACACTGTTATTTTATACACTGTTATGATAAAAATATTTATTTCATCTGCTTTAAAGGAATACTTCACCCGCTTAATGCCTATTTGTACATCAATTACCCTCCGGACTAAGTCATGTCACAGATTTTGGTGCCAGATTGTGTGCATAGCAAGTGTGCGGCCATGAGGGAGAGCGAGAGCGCATGTTTGATGGTGACATTGACGCTGCAGTGACCGGAGCAAAGAGTATAAAGTTAAACATAGCAGAATTTTCTCCATTTTTGGATTCTTCATCAATGTGGACATATGCCAGAAAAACAAAGTCTTCTTCACAAAGTAAAAGTAACAAGTGCTGAGCAACTGATATACAAATGTTCATTTGGGAGGTGAAGTATTCCTTCAGGTTAACAGATGGCCCTACAATAAATGTTATAACATCTTGGTTACGTAGTTATTCACAAGGTTCAGGAGTTTTATCAGGTGGTGCGTCACCTTATCATCTAAACACTCCTCTCAGTTTTCTGATTGATCTGTCATGTAGAGAATCTGGTCAGGCTCAAACTGGATAAAACTCACAGTGTGAGTTCTGGCCTTGTGACGCACAGAGAAAGAGATACAGAGATAAAGACAAAGACAGTGAAAGGTACAAACAGTGCAGATGCACCAATGACTGAGAAAGAAAACACTATATTGAAAATATCTATCAACAAGTTAAGAATTGTGGAGGAAAGACACTCAGTGGCCACTTTATTAGGTATACTTGTACAGTCTAATGCAATCCAATACAAGTCCACAGTCATGAAGTCACTTTCATCCTGCCTATAACACACACACGTCACATTACTACATAAATATCCTCAGGGAAATGCCTTTACTGTTGTTTAAAGCACAGCATTTGTTTCACTCCCTGTTTTTGCTTTTACACTATATGCATTTATATTTTTCTATTACTGCACCACACGTTTGTTATTGTGATAGATGTTTGTACTTTGTTGTTTGCACCTTACACTCATTTGTTCATTCTTTTGTTTTGTACCAGGATGATAGAAACACAGTTTTGTTCCTCTGTGTACTTGGATGGATGACAATTAAGTCTCTCATCTTATATTGAGAGATGTTTTTTAACATTCTGCCCCCTCGTGTATAAAAACAGGGAGGACAGTACAACACCATCACTAAGGCCCAATTCCAATCCGGCCCCTAAAGACTCAAGCCCTGAACCCTCACTGACTTAACTGACGTCAGCTGTAAGTGATTGAGTGTGAGAGTCTGAAAGGGCTCCGGATGCTACAAATAGGAATGGGACAGCACTTATCCCCCTCTCTACAAAATGTTGTTAACATTGGCGGCTCTGGGCGTGATCATTTATCGGTTATTGTCATCATATATTCCACACACAAAGAATATATATCTATATATATCGATAGATCTATCTATCTATCTATCTCTATAGATATATGTTCTTTGTGTGTGGAATATAACCACTGGTATTCCTCTGACTTCATGTGTGTTTATGTACCATCTTAAATCCTTGTTAATGTAATGTTTCATTGTTTATCTATCTGTGTTTTCGCTCTCCTTCCATAACGTTAATGTTTGCATATCTGCCGACCGTGTTACTTCCGGTGTTTCGAGGGCAACCCCTGTATTTGACGTCACAACGCTATGAACTGTGGGTAATTTCCTTACCATAAGTCCGCATCGATGCTGACCTACGGTAAGGGGGCATAAAGGGCTCACTCACTAACTCACTGACTCACTGACTTGACGATTTGACAGAGGGACAGCCCTCACACACTCACGCACTTCACATGAACGAGCCTCTAAGTCAGTGAGTCTGTAAGGGATCGGATTGGAATTGGGCCCAACTGTGACCTCAGAAATAAACATTATAGAAGAGGACATATAGCAGTTTTTTTTAACTTACCCTCCACCTGCTGGATCTTTATAGTTGAACGGCTGGTTGATGACGCCCATGACGGGCTCACCTGTGCTCCGTAGATAAACCCCGATGAGGACCAAAGCACAGTGCAGACCTGAAGGAGAGAGGTGGCCCTCCTCCAGCACCTCCTCTTTGCCCTCTATGTACTGGCTGGTAGCATCTTAATGACAAACATGAGACAGACAGTTCTCATCGAGGCTCAACCCTCTGCATTGTTTTCTGGATTATTTCAGTGCGTCAAACAGGAAAACAGTAAGCATTTCACCTATAGGGTCGATCCAGATGCCGAGCTCAGAGGGGCTGAGTGGCACCGTCAGACCGTCTGTGCTGGCATCGATGGTCACTGGATCCTGGTGGATGGCTCGAGCCAGCAGAGACGCTGCTGTGTGGTCACCGTCCAGCACCGTGGCCAGCAGCGCCGCGGTTTCCTCCTCCGTACCGCACACTGTGACTATCACACTCTCTCCTGGTGAAACAGAGTCAGCGGGGTTTCATTTGATTACTTAACAACTAATAACTTTAAATATTTACACAGTGCAACATGCAGCGACCTTAAATATTTGGACAGTGATACATTGATGCTTTATGTTCTGATTATTTTAGTTGAAAGATGTTTCAGTCACTGTGAGGTTCAAGTCGGGATTATTAGGTCAAGTGTAGTTTTAGTCCTGCTAGTATTTAGTCTACCCATATGAAGGTTGAGTGATTATTATTATTATTATTCATTATTATTATTATCATACAGCACTTCTTCATCTTTTATCACATTTTAACAGAGTAAAGTTTCAATATTCCTGCAGCCTACAACAGTCTCCACAGATGTTGTTTGTCATTATCAGGTTGTCTTCGCTCAGTTTATCAGAGGTTAAGGGACCCCTTTGAAATTCACCATGCCACTTGTTTTTAACTGATTTGATTTGTTCCCTCACCCAAATTAAGCCTAACTTCGGAGCATTATTTAGCTGCCTTTCCAACAAGCTATGCCAACATGATTGGTATCGATGGATGCCTTAGGTTGTCCTGTTTCACATACCACTAAAGCCCCCAGAAACAGCGCTGGGCTTTAAAGCCAGTTTTACTCAGTGGCCAAATGTAGAATTAAAACGTCCAGGTCTGTCATGTGATGCTATGGGACCCAAAATACTTTTTCCCATAGACTTACTTTGGCAAAGAGAAGTCTGTCAATCAGTGGATACATTTTATTGAACGTCCTTACCCCCGTGAAATGACTTGTTTCTCTATCGGGCCTGTTTTATGCCATAATTGTTGTATGTCGTCATAATGATGGCGGCTGGTCCATTTGCACGTATATGACTGTTTTGTATGTCATAATCATTTCACGCAAAGCCCTTTGTACACCATAATCATTGAGTACAGCGTCATAACAACAGCAGCTGAACCTTTAACATGTCATAATCATTATGTATGCTGTCATAGCAACGGTATCTGCCCCTTTTGGTCCTTTTGTATGTCATTATCGCTGTATGCGCAGTCACAATGACGGCAGCTGACCCTTTGGCACACACTCTCCTGTTTTTTGTGTCATAACCACTATGAATGCTGTTTTGCTGAATTGCTGTTTACACTGTCATATTGGCGTTGGCTGGTCCATTCATTACATGGCTCTGTTGCACGTCATAATCACCGTGTATGTTGTCATAGATACAGTCAGTCATTTATTACTGGCTGACCAAAACAAAACATGTGAAGACGCAAGTTTGGTCTTTTAGAAACTGTTAATGTGGAAAACTGTGTTTTTCACTATTTTATAATGTTTAACAATTATACAATTAATCCTTAGTCATAACCTGAATATCAACTAATTCAAGAAGAAGATATTTTGAGGTTGGGCACATCACAGGAGTGAGTAATATCACAGGACCTGCCTTTGTTGACACAGTACTTTCATGGTGCAATTTCAAATACATGTGCAACCAATCAAAATAAACTGACATGCAGGTAACCCGGGACTTTGGGGCCACTGTGGGACATCTGGGACCAGGGAAGGTGCCCACTTTGCCCACTTGATAATCCAGTATTGTTGCCCTACACCTTCAACACTGCAAAACTCCTATTTTACATTCCCAATAGTGCTAGAAGGACAAATTAAAGTTGCTAAACTGCTTAAGATGCAAATCTGAATGTCAGCCTTTGCAGAAAACTGTTGCAGAAGCAGAGGAATTCAGCACTAGATTAATAATATTCCCATGCATGACCCTAATTGACCCCAAACACATGCTTCAGGATATGGACTTAGTGTACGCCTAGAATAATCAGACTGGAGATTTTTTCTTGACTATAATCCTAACCTAAACACCACAGTGTTTGGACAGATTAGATTTGGACAAACGTAATTCTGCTTCAATTTTTAAGTGATTCACAACCATGAACATGTAGTATGTTAAGTGCGTTATCAAGTCATTACCAAGCCCATTTTCAAACTTGTTGGACTCCTCTCCATTAATGAAGCCAGCCATCTCAGGGAACTGACCAAAAAAGCAGACAGGACATTATTACAGCCCGACTCCAGTTGATTCAGACAGTCCATACCTCAGTCCTCAGATTTCTCCTACCTTTGCACCAACATCATGCCTGATCATCTCCTGGATCACCACGTCAGCAAGCGTCTTGAAGTCCTGGACAAACTTCTTGTTCTTGTCATCTCCAGTCTTCTCTTGAACAAGGAGCTGGAAGAGGGGAGCCTCCTGCCTGCAGACCCGAGCCACATTAGCTGCCTTCTCAGCCACCCGGAGCAGCAGCCTCAGCAGATCAGCCATGCCTGAACAGAAAGAGAAAAAAAAGGGAGGTTTTCGTCAACGAAACTGTGCGTGTGAGAGAGAATGAGAGAAAAAGAGACGAGGAAGGTCACACTTGAACATACCGAGCTAAATATAGCCTCCAAATGAAAACAGGGCAATTCTGAAAAAAGACAAGTGTGTGAGGGAGGGAAGTGGGTTCAGGTCTTTGTGTGTGAACTAACACAGTATCTCCTTTGCCCAGCAGATTCAGATACAGATAGATAGATAGATAGATAGATAGATAGATAGATAGATAGATCCTGTATTGACATTGTGTTAAACAATGTAACTTTGTTGGAGCAATCCAGTTAGCAGCATATAAATGTTTCCACATGCACCAACACACACTTCCATAAGCTCAACACATCATTCTCATGACCGCATACACATTCATATCTATATTTTTAAGATATATGATGAATACTAAGTGAAAACAGTATAACACAACAGTTCACAATCCTCTCAAAAAATAATTCAGTAATCCAAATTTTCAAATAATTATTCAGATTATAAAGCTTCTTGCAGCATTTCACAGTAAAATACTGGGAGCAAAAATACCGAAAAGCACAACAGGGTGTGTATTAAATGGCCACAGTTGCGTGCTATTAGTAATGTCAGAAATATTACAGCAGCTACATGTCCTCTGGTGATGAAAAAAAGGTCTCCATAAAAAATGAATAATGTCAATTGAGTTGTTTTGACTTGTAACTGCATCCAACTTTCCTTCAGCTACCTATATTAACGCCACAGCTCCTGACATCCCAGTAAACAGGTTTGTTAGGCTTTAGCTTAGCATTTATGAGGTTAGGTAATATAGCAAAGGAATTTCAAACGCCCAAAGACAGAACAGCTCTGTAAAATGACTGAAACCTTACCAAAACCCAGGTTACACACCGCTGGTTTTACCTCTCGTCAGTACCTCTGTCGGTAGCTGTGGTTTTTCCTGTCCGCCCTGCAGTCACCAAACGCGGATAATGTAGTGACAGGAATGCGGGAGGACGTAATTTCAGTAAAACAGTGGCATTAAAGCGCCTAATTAACACTGAGCTCTGCCTGCTCTGGTTTCTTTACGTCAGTGCGAGTTTCCTCTGGAAGGAAGGGCGGACGATCTCCTCACATCTAGGCCGACAGACAGAAGGTGTAGCCAGGCGCGTCACGGCACAGAGCACGGTGAGTGTTATACACAAGGAAAGGACAACAGGAAATGGAGCCGTGCTGCGTTCAAATACAAATGTGAAATTCAAGCTTCTATCTTCAGACTATATAACAACAAGCTATTTTGACACAAACTCCATTTGTCATCTTATGCAGACACATCATTTTCTGTTTTTGCTTTTGTTGGTTAAGTGCACGTGAGCAAACAATGCAAAAATATTAATGCAGATATGTCTCTTTAAAGGGATAGTGCACCCAAAAATGAAAATTCAGCCATTAGCCGTTTCTCAATACTCAAGTTCGGCAGTTCGGACTTGTGGACTTGGCAAGTCCACCCGAGAGTCCGGACTTCACAAGAACGGGAGGACGGGAGTACAGTCATTTCTGCTTTTGGTAGTCTCGCCACCAGACAATCAGAGATCTCCGCCTTCTGATAGTCTGGGGACACTCCTTTCTAAAGTGTGTTTAACACACCGGCGAAAACGGCCGGCAACAAAGCAACGCCTCTTGCATTTTTGAAAAGGACACGCCTTCTCGGAAATGTGCTCCCCCTTTTCTCGTCTGCAAGGAAACAAACATACAGAGAGCTTGAAAATGGATGCCGAGAGATTTAACTCCGTTTTATCAAACGTGTGTTCATCCGTGAAGAAAATATTTTTTTCCAGCAGATGTCTTAGTTACAACATGATTGAGCGAACTGGAGTAGTTTCATGTCGTATCCGACAACGGGAGGCTTTTAACAGATGACGTCCTGATGTTAGCTTTGCTGCTAGTGTTAGCTGTCCCTGTCAGCTGCAGCCACTGATGCTTTCTAGACATCGTGATTTCCCAAAACTGAATAAATACCACACATAGCAACACAAAACTGCTTTGCTAGCTCAATCATGTTGTAACTAAGATATCCGCTGGAAAAGATATATTTTTCACGGACCGTTTAATGAGTTAATACCTATTACAGACACTGCTAACGGCTAACAGGGCTGGGCTAACAGCTAACGGTTAGCCCAGCTAAACGTGCACACAGAAATAGTAATGTTTGTTCAATCATTGTGTTTATAGACTTTACAAACATCGGATTAGTCCAAACGGTGATACAGTGATGTGAAAATGTGACATATAGGCCGTGTATATATAGCTAAAAGCTCTGCTAGTTTTCTACCCGGAAGTATTTGTAAACAACAAGGCGATTCCCTCTATAGTCCGGCGGACGGATGAGTCATGGCCTTGTAAAAGATTATGTTTGTTTCTTTTAGTTGGCGAGAATGTGTCGCCGCAAACGCGACAAACATCCACTAAGAGGCCGTTTACACGTACACAGTGATTTTGATAAACGGAGACATCTTCCTTCGTTTGTGCCCTTCGTTTACACGCAAACGGAGATTTCTCCTCTGAAAACGAGTCTTTCTAAAAACTCCGGCCAGAGTGGAGATTTTGGAAAACTCCGGTTGCGCGTTTGCATGTAAACTGAGATAAACGGAGATAAACGGAGTTATAGGCAGCCGACGTCACAGTATGCGCCGGAACTTGCGCCTGTGTAAAAAGTGCGACCTACGTTGCTATGGTGACAATGGATACATGGAAGGCTTGAGCTTCTCGTTACACTGCCACCTACAGGTTTGGCATGCTCTTGTGTATATATACACGGGTAAGTGTAAACGAAGATCTTTTTGAAAACGGAGACGGTGAAATGTCCGTTTATGAAAATAGCCGGCAACGTGTAAACGGCCTCTAACTTTGACGGCGTTTTCTGTGAGCATGGCTGAGCCATTTTGTACCGCTACACGTGTTTCTAGTGGGACTATGAGGCCGTTTACACGTTGCCGGCTATTTTCATAAACGGACATTTCACCGTCTCCATTTTCAAAAAATTCTTCGTTTACACTTACCTGTGTATATATACACAAGAGCACGCCCAACCTGTAGGCGGCAGTGTAACGAGAAGCTCAAGCCTTCCATGTATCCATTGTCACCATAGCAACATAGGTCGCACTTTTGACACAGGCGCAAGTTCCGGCGCATACTGTGACGTTGGCTGCCTATAACTCCATCCATCTCCGTTTATCTCAGTTTACATGCAAACGCGCAACCGGAGTTTTCCAAAATCTCCACTCTGGCCGGAGTTTTTAGAAAGACTTGTTTTCAGAGGAGAAATCTCCGTTTGCGTGTAAACGAAGGGCACAAACGAAGGAAGATGTCTCCGTTTATCAAAATTACCGTGTACATGTAAACGGCCTCTATGTTTACAAGCACAAGAGTTCAGCGAGCCACCGAAGGACCGCTCTGCAGATTTACTATTGGTTCTGCAACGTAGGGAGTTTTTTAAACTTTGAAATTGTATCCGCCCATCTAAACACAAAATCAGAGAGAGAGTCATCAGTCTTTAGTTAAGCAAAGCGTCTAAAGACTGACTTGTGAGTCTAGCTTTTGGAACAGCAGCGAACTTGATGATGTCACCACCTCCGCTTGCCTTGGCTGTTGTACTGTGTTGTTTACGTGTATTTAGAATAAAACAATATAAACACAGCCCAGCCCTGTGTCTTTTCATAGACACTGTAAGAAATTAATATGTATAGCCTATGTTTTTAACGTTTCAACATATATAACTGACATACAAGCTAAATAGCCAAAATATTTTCATAAAATGTCTTTTAAAACCTTTTCCCCGCAGCTGGCTTCTGATTATAATCAAAAGTCAAGTGCGGGGGGAAAAGTTTGTGGAGAGTTGGTGGTTATTGTGATCGTGAGCATTGGCGAGATGGAAATCAAAAATCAATAACGGATCGGAGAAGGCGTCTTGGCGCAGTTATTGCAGCAGGACTGCTGTACCTGCAGGCTGAGGAGGAGGCTGCCCAGCTGAGGAGGCAGATCCCAGAAAGACAGCAGAGAATGAAGATGAGGATGAGGATGAGACGTGCGATGCTTGCATGTCTGTTCGATATGTTTGTCCAGTTGTGGACAAAGTACCCAGGAATATCACAACAAAGAACAAAAACTCAGTCACAAGTAAAAGTGCTGCATACCAAATCTGACTTGAGTAAAAGTATCTGGGTATTGTCAGCAAAATGTAGGCCTACTTAAAATTAAAAGTTCAAAGTACTCATTATGCAGAGTGACCCAATTTCAAATATTGTTATCATCATATACATGAATAGGTATTGAGTATTAATTGATCAACGTCAGCTACATGTAAGCAGCATTTAAATGTTGTCATGGTAGAACTAATTTTAACACCTGTCACTGGTGTACTAGTCTCATCTATAACAACACACAGCAACTTGTAAATGTGAAACTTACAACATATAAAACAAACTATCTGAAAAGTAACTATAGCTATCAAATAAATGTAGCTTGAGTAGACTGTACAGTATTTCCCTCTAAGTAAATGGAAATACCCAAAGTACATCAAATTTGTACTTAAGTACAGTAGCTACTTGAGTAAATATACTTAGTTACAGTCCATCACTGCATTTGTCTCATCATTATGCTTTCTGTCTACATTTTTTATGGAGACTTGACAGTTTACTTGGTACACCTAGAAAAAACAACAGCAGTTTAATATTCAGTCTAACATTTTATTGAAGTGTTGAGTTGTAGATTGTGGTGCTGTTGAACTGTACTGGATTATACTGACAGCAGTTTCTCATTTAGTCTGTCCTCACCAATATAAATGGGATCAAACAGGTCAGATGTTCAGAGGAAAAGTTCAGCCACACTTCAGACATCAGGTATACAATTCATATCAGATAATCAATATTTAAAATGCTGTTGAATAAATACTACAATAACGACAATTAATCTTTAAATACAATAAATAAATGACAATAAATTCTTAAAATTATTATTGAATGGTAAAAACACATAAATAAGCAAAAGAATGCAAGGAACAATAATATGTTACAACATTTAATAATGTAAGAATATATCTTATACTGAGACTGAATATTGCCCATTAGACATTCCCCAAACGAATTACATTTCATATTTAAGCACTACAGAGATATCAGCCACGAGGCTGCTCTCTGGGGCAGCCTGAGCGCTCATACATGCGTTTATTATCTATGAGCACTGACACCGCTAGATGACAGCGGTGCCAGCGCTCATAAACACATGAGCGCTGGCACCGCTGTCATCTAGCAGACTTCAGTCACATTCAACTGGGCTCTATATTAAAACATCGACCACGGGTCTGACGTTTAAACTACGCATGAAAACACTATGTTCTGTGACAAAACAACAGTGACATATCGGTAATTATGGCTTACAATTGTGCGCCTTTCCCTCACTTGTCATTTTCCAATGATTGTTGCGAAATGCATGCTGGGATACCTGGCTGTCTGAAGTTCACACAAGTCTGCTCCGATGCATCCCCGGTGAAATGGATGTGGCGAGAACACATCCGTAAATTTGGACTGAACTTGGCTAGATGGGAACTTTGAATTGGAACAGTAGCCTACTTGGGCTGTGACTGATGACGTGTCACAAGTCCACAAGAACACAAGTTTGCACAAGAACGCATATTGAGAAACGGCTATTATCTACTCACCCATATGCCGAGGGAGGCTCAGATGAAGTTTTAGAGCGCACAAACGTGAATGCGGTGTACAGAGAGGCAGTCAGAGCTACAGGCTACAATGAGGCTAAAAACAGAGTTCAAATGACGTTTTTCCAAACAACTTTTTATGTCGGGGCTTCAGGACACTTGGATCACTATGGACGAGCAGTATGGAGATATTTTGTGGTTTCAAATATGTGTTTTTGGACGTTTGAATCTGGGGCACCGTAAGCCTCCATTAGGTGGAGTTGTGTTGCTACCCCCTCTCCCCTTGGATCTCTGCAAGTGTTGTTAGGACTCTAAAACTTCACCTGAGCCTCCCTCGGCATATGGGTGAGTAGATAATGGGTGAATTTTCATTTTTTAAAATATTATATCATCATGAAACTTGCTCAGTTGATTACTTACAATAGTATGAAAAAAAGTTTTTCATGTTTA